TTCAAATTACAAACCGGGGATTTTTTTACTTCTTGGAGCTATTCTTTGAAGACTTTAAATGATTTCCGTTGGGAAAATTAATTATGTGATGAAGAATTCTAATTAACGAAACTTTGCATTGCGAATTGGTTATACGATAGGTTGCCTTTTATGTTTCGGGATTTGGCAACACTACCGTTGCAATCTGGCAACTGACAGCTCTATCGTAAAGTTGGACAAAAAAACAAAATTTTCATAGTTGGTATTGTATATTTATTGAGTTTTATGTGTACTCGAGGCAAAAACAAGAGTTTTTCGACCGCAACAAGACCGCTCCTAACCCAATAAATACTTCATCATCCAATACACCCTGCGTGCCGCTGTTCCTTCGATTGAAATCCCCGAAACGTTCGACCGAAAATCTAATAAAGTGATCATGTCATGTGTCAGCGCGGGAACCGAACTTATTCATCAAGGGAAAACCTTTGAAGTGTTTTAAATGAAAGTGTGTTGACAGAGGACGCGTGCTCGCTGAGTCAAAAACCACAAGGGTCGCATGATCTTGTCATTAGCATCCTTTTCTCTGATAGCCCCACGGCTATTTCAATATTCACTGGCTCTGCTTCGAAAATATTGCGTACTATAGTTCGTTCAGTATTGTCTGAGAGTAAAAGAATTTCAAGAATGCAATCATGTCGCTACATCAAAGAAAGGAACATAGTCGTCTCAAGCAAATAGCACTGCAATTCACCCACAAAATCATTGAGATATGTCTACCCTCTATATCCCTTGAGGACGCCGCTAACGAGCCATTAAAATAGGAATATGCGACAAAAAACGGGAAAACACCGACAAAGAATGCGAAAATACCGCCAAAAGAACCGCTCGATGTTTTTTCTAATATTACGTTAAAGGTAATATTAATAGGCGTCGGATTGGGGGTATTAATATAAATTTTCCATTGATATATATTCTGTATGATGAGAAGATAATCAAAATATGGTGAAAACTAATTTTGTTTGAATATTTTATTTTGGGAAGGACCTATTTAAATCAAAACATCATAATTTGTAGTTATGATTCGTCTTTTGATGCAAATAAATTTGATATTATTATTATCATTGACACTGATAATATCAAATTGATCATCGGTATGATAATGAAGATGAATAAAGTATTCGAAACATCACCAGATAAGTATACAAATAGAATAGATTTCCGCGGTTAGAAATTTAAACATCTGATTTCGAGTTGAACCGCGTTCAAAATTTTGCGTTGTTCGACGTTTCGATTTCGACTTTGACATTTTCAGGAAGGTATTCCTTATTAGATTTTATAGTTGATTCAGAAACAATTTTATAGATTTAATGGGAATACTTACTTCGAATAAGACATTGCGATAATTTCAATCTGAAAAAAGTCTACAGGAATTTGTTCAGTGATTCTTCACTAAATGAATCAGTTTCATTAGGATTGATGACAACTGGAATAATTTTTTCTGATAATGAGTCTATGCGATCATTCAGATCCCACATCTCTGCTTCGATTCTGATTGTTTTGTGGATACATTTTTCCCAAGCTTTTTGGTCGACTGTTTCCAGAGCAATGTATAGGTATTTCTTTACTTCACACAGTTTGAAGGTCTTATTATTCCTTGCGATGAATCCTTTAACTTGAGCCCAAACCAACTCTATTGGATTAAATTCACAGTGATAAGGCGACAACCGAAGAATCGACATTCCTTTAGTCTTCGGCATCTCATCGGTGTAAAAAGAGTGTACTGTTCTCCTAATAAAATTCTTGACTTCTTCATCGATAACTAAACACTCCAGTGGATACTTTCGGCTCGAAAAAGTTGTTGTTTTCCTTGAGTTCCTTTAGAATTCTAAAAATTGTCGATCTATTGATACCGGTCATACTCGCGCATTTTTGCACTGCTTCCGACTTGCTTTTTATTTCGGACGTATATTGTATCCTTAAAGAATTATATACATTTATAACAATTGTTTTTTCATTTATATTTAATGGTGACAATTTCAGACGCTCCACGATTCCCGAACAACTAGCTTCCATGTTGTATAGCTGTTTATTCAACGCACTCTCGAAGTAAACTGAAGAAAATCACGAATAACCCCGCTGAAAAGCCAAGTCGGTCTTATTAATGGGTGCGATGTGTCTGTTGACAGTATAATTCAAAGGAATATCTATTTATACCGCCTTCAAAAAAAAAAACAATGTTTTTTCAATCCCCTTCAACTAAATACCTATTTGTTGGAGAATGTCTTGGTCACTACTGGACATATTTTAACATTTGTCATAGTAGATTTGTTATTTTGTTTGTTATGAATGATATTTTTCTACAAAAAGGATTTGAAGCTTTATATCTTCTATCAATTATCTGCGAGCGCTTTCGACAGTTGGTAGTACTGTCATCTTCTAGGCACTCCTCAAAGTGCGGATCAACAGTTGCACCTCCTGAAGTCGTTTTCATCCAGAATCTCGTGCTGGATCGAAATCTGAATTTCAGATGGAACATTTATTCATGCATGTGTGCTAGGTGTCTACGTAATAAACCGATGTCGGAGATTTCTCCACGGGGGAAACTTGGGGTTGGCAGGGCGACTACGCCCCCCAGGCGGCGGTCAATACGGCGGGCGCATGCGCGGTGGAAATTTGCAACTTCGCCGAAGGCTACAGATACGTATACGCACATTTCCAGCTTGATTTACCGTCCAAATTACGCTGTGCATCTTATTGTTGGAGGAGAAGTTTCCCTGGCGAGGGTCGGGAGATGGAAAAATTACAGCGGGAGTTGGGAAAGTTGCTGTTTGTGTTATGTCTGTGACGGCGGGGTATGGAGATGGTTTACCGAGAAAATATTTGAAATGGTAGAATCCAGTTATTGCATATGCATAAACGATTCGCAGAAGTTCTCTAAAGAAATTTATATATAGGACTGAGTCTTGAGAAGGGACACAATTCAGCAAAACAGTTAAGATATTGGAAAATACCCAACTTTTAACGTTTATCAGAAAAACAAGCATTCCTCAATGAATGCCAGTTTGGTTTTTATTTATTTATTTATTACACAAATAGAGATACAAACAGAATAAATCCAACAAAATATCCTCATTTTACATATGAAAGATAGTGAGTAAACAAAATATAAATGCTAAGTAGGTACATTACACTATATAGTAATGAATATTAACAAAAAACTAAATAAACAGTATATGTAGAACCGATAACTAATTATAAATAAAAATAGATTTCACATACTTTTTAAATTTAAGGGAAGGTAACCTTAGTTTTTCAATATCATTGCAATGAGTATTGAAAGATCTGACTATTCTGCATAAAGGAGAGTTTTTTCCTGAATTGGTTTTTCTAAATGGGGTTGCAAAGAGATCATGGTTTCGCAAGTCTCTGCAAGGTGTATTCAATGAAATTTTTGTTATCAACGTAGGACAATCGACACGTTTATTGAATAATTTGTACAGCATTAATATATCTGACATTTTTCTTCTACCTGTAAGAGACAACAAAGAATTTCAAAGAATTCGGAACCCATCCTTTACTTCCTCCGCAATGTACAATGATTAGTCGCGATCCATTGTTTGCAGGCATGTTAGGCGTACACATTCTCGAACCATCAGTCCACCCTTTCGTAACTAAGTCGTTAGTGTCATACCAAGTTTCGTCCAAATAGAAAATTTGCCGTCGTTCTTGTTTATATTTAGTTATTTATTCTAAGTAGGTATTTGTTACGCAATTCCACTATTCTTCTGCTTTCCATAACTGCTTGACGTTTGTTTATTATTCAAAATCTAACTCCTAGTTTCTTTATCCAATTCTGAAGAGTTTCGTCACAGCAGCTCACGTTATGGCCGTGAGTATTCAATTTCTTCCTCATGATTTCATTTTGTAATTATTTGCTTTCTTCCTTCAACTGAAAGTTTCCTTCATTTTTTGTATAAAAGATGTAGAAGTAGAAAACCAAAACGTTTCTTTTCCAAAAACTTATCTCTCCCAAAAATATACCCTTTTTTTTCATCAGTTGGGACTTCCATTGTCTAATATATATATAAATTGTCTAATATTATATTAGACAATGGAAATCCGAAATTATGAAATACACCACGAAACATTGTCAACCACTTTCAAACAAATATCCTTTTCAATTTCAATGGTAAATATTTTGAACATTCATTGGAATGAACAGGAGTAAGTTTTAAATGAACTTTTTATTGAAATTATGATATTTATCGTTTGCAAATTCCTAAAACGAATATAAAACTGCTGATTATTCGGGAACTGTTACTTAATCCGATTTCCCAAAATAAAAAATTGAGAGAAAATAGAAAATTGAAATATTTGTCAAACTAAATGTCACAAGACCAAACATTCAGTTGAAAAAAATATTGATGAATGATTCTCACACAAAGTACTGAAAATGATACCTTTTTAAGTAAATTTCATCGGAACTTTATATTTTGTCTCGTTCAAAAGGGAATATTAACGTCCGCACTGTATAACATATGTACATGATAATTACCTGGATAACAAACCATACAACTGGAAAATCTTATACTTTTGTGTTATCCCAACATCTTACGAAAAATGGACAAAAGAATTTCCAGCTCAATAGATGTTCACAGCGCACTCTAGGTGCGAGAAGTACGTACAGAAAATAAAATTACACAACTCGACTCGTACACCAGCGCTGCTTCTAATAAATCCAGCAGATGTCAATAGCGATTAGGGTTTTTGACAGCTCGACATCGACAGTTGTTCGTTTGTAATATCTACCTTATATTGGTAAAATGATCTTGAAACTCATTTCGGTCAAATAGTTTTCGAATTGAATAGTTTCATGCAAAGGAAGATGACAAAATATTCACTTTTTACGTCTGCTCTTTTCGACCCTGTAGTTTATAACACAGTAATCACAAACCACTAAAGTAGTTTGTGACAGTAATGATGAAGATGACGAACAGGGCTTTTATGTCAACATTGTCAAAAAACGCCCTTTTTCCATGCATGTTAGGCATTATTAGGTTATATAATTATAACCAACTTTTAGGTTACAAGCCAGAGGGGTAGAATCTGTGATCTCAATAAAACAACTGTATCCGTTTTAATAGAACCTAGCACAATGGTCGAACGACAAAGACAAAGAATTGAACAAGAAATGACCAAAATGATAAACGATTTAGATATGGAATATCTAAGAAAAATGCAAGTAAGTTGCTAATCTAAATTCCCTCATGAAACAACCTCTTCACCAGACTTTTTCAGGCAGACATGCATAGGTGTGCGGCAGCCTGTTGTGATAATAAAGAAGTTTCCTTAGAAAGAGTTCAACGCTGCGTTGAAAACTGTTCCTCAAAAATTAATTGGGCCCAATCCTATGTACAAACGGAGCTCGAAAACCTCCAGAACAAGTTACAAAGATGCGTTATGGACTGCAATGATGATGTGCGAGTGAAAATGGGGCCCAATCCTTCGGAGTCAGAGGTATGGTATAGTGTCAAGTAGGATTTTTCTAGTTGAACCTTAGTTCATTTTTTGATATAGAAGTATTTTATTATGAGTATTTCACCATCCAATATACAAAACCGAATACATGTTTCACTATAAAATAGCTTGTTCAGGTGTGTTTATTGATTTATTCAGTTATAAATGGATGAATCCCTATACATAAAAACCAAAACAATTATTCTTAAAACACTAATATATTATACATACAAAAGATCACTTATGAAACGTTTCATCAAAAACAACTACTACTTAGTCAATGTTTTGAATACGCCTAAAGAAGCTAATAGATACTGAAATATGTGTTGAGGCTTTGTAAGTGAACAGTGTGCAAAAAGTGTCACATAAATACTTTACCTATCATGGATTTTCATCAAGTATCGGCCAATTCCATCAAATATTGTATTTTTCAGGTGGATAAATTTACAACACTCTTCGAAACATGTGCCACCAAATGTGTAGATAAGCAGTTAGAATATATGCCATCTCTGCTCAAACGAATGAAAGCTGATTTAGCAAAAGGAGAACACAACACGTAATCGGATACCTGTTATTGTGATTTAGAAAAATCTAATTTTCCATGATAGTTCGTAATTATTTGTTATTACAGTTTTTAGATATTTGACTTTTCGTGCAGAAATACCCAACCTTTTTATCAGCACAGTTCTTTTTCATAAATTATAAACAATTCTGACCAATTCTCCAAAATTGTTCCACATCATCAGTATCACTGTAGAAACCTTCATAACATTTCCCTCAGGCGTCACTCCATCTTTTTTCATCTATATTAATTATGGATAATTCCACTTTTTACTTCTCATTCAATTATTTATTTGACTTTCTATTCATGAACATTTAATGTTTCTTGGAATGATAAAGACTATACGAATGCTATTTCTCTTATAGTGCTTCGACTAAGTACAATTCCCATCCTGTCAAATTGAAATTGTAATCTTTTTCTACCTTCAAAATGAAAATAAAAGCCATTATCTTCAGTAAACAATGAATCTGACTGGCTACTGTTTATTATGGTCATTATATCTTATTTCTACGTTAACGTGCAAATGAAGGTAAAAACCTAGAATAAATCATGATTTTAAGTTAGATTTCTAGTCAATTTCTGCATTATGACCAATCCGCTGGCTTATCAAAAAAAAAAGTAAATGCCCTGAAGATGAGCGTCTAAATTGACTGGTTATGTGCAGACTTCTCAGAGGCTTTCGATGGGGCGAACCATTCTCCCATCCTTTGCAAACAAGAAACGCTTGAATTTCCAGATTACTTATTATTTTCGTTAAGCAGTTACCTTTTGAGTGTTACTCAGCATGTGAAAATTGAGAATCATAGTTCTAGTGAAATTCAAGTAACTTGAGGCGTCCCGCAGGGATCCCATTTGGACCCACTGTTGTATAATTTATATATAAATGATCTTGCATCTTATTTTACCTTTAGCCAGTATTTATTGTTTGTGGATGATGTCAAAATACTCATGCAGGTACTGTTTCCACATTAGTACTATAAACTACAACAAATTAAAAGGGTTACATTTTTAGTGTTAGTTTTTGGGAAAGTTTTTAGCTGTCTTTCCCAAACTACAACAAGTTATAACAAATATCACTAAAGTTTCTTGTGTTCTGAGGCATATTGCAAGATTATCCTGAGGTTAAAGGATATCTATCCCATATTCTAAAATTACCTGAACAAGGAATCAAAGTAAAACAAAAATTACTATAAACTTCATCATTAGGTAGTTGCAAACAAATACAACATGGCTTTAACAAACTGAACGATCTCAGACCCACCCAACTTCGATTCCCCATAAACTCTATCAACAAAAGTAATAGGCACCTCTCCGATGGTAAAACCGAGCTCTCTGGCCCTGATGATCATTTCCATTTGGAAGACGTAACCCTTCGAAACACAACGCTTGATAAGCTGATCGAGTACGTCCTTTCTGTACAGTCTGAAAGAGCCTGTGAGGTCGGAGGCACCAGGGCGTAGTAACAGTTGCGTTAAGAAATTGGCACCGCGAGAGACTAATTTTCTCTTGAAGTCCCAGCCGTATACTCCTCCTGATCCGACGTAGCGAGTGCCGGATACAAGGTCTAAGTTTTCAGATTGTTGTTTTTCGATGAATTGGGAGATGAATTTTGGCTAAAACAAATGATTTTCTATCAATCTTTTGATTAGTAATATTCCTGAACAAAGCTGAAAGAACTTGAGATAATTAGAGTTTCATGATTGATTGCTAATGAATCAGCATATATTGGAGAGAAATCTATTTCAGACAGCTCCTTTTTTGAAGAAATATATGAGTAGTGTTGAAATTGCAATAGACTAATATCTGAGAACATCTTGTACTACAATCTACACCTGTTTAACTTCTCCATTACAATCTTTCATATTTTTTTAGATTGTGGAAGTTGAAAATACATCTATAAAAAATGATATTATTAGCATAAACTGACTCATATACATAATCAAATGAATAATGAAACTGCAGTACCGTATAACAGCTTGGATGCAAATGTCTATACGTATTTCAAAAAGATAAGGTCAACTTACATGATGGCTCAAATCAGAATCCATTATGATAATGAAATTTCCAGTAGCATGCTTCATCCCATGAATATAGGCGGTCCCTAAACCTAATTTTTTTTCTCGGGGTCTCAAAACTATTTTATCTTCCCCGTAAATCTTCTGCAGTTGCTGCGCAGCTTCAAGAGTTCCATCAGGGCTACCATCGTCGATGACTATGACCTCATAATCGTACCCACTGCAAATCAAAATGTTTGAAAGCTTGTCAGGAAGATTACTGAAAATTTACCTTTTGCTCATATATTTCACCAGGAGGTATATCATAATGGGGAGGTTCTCCACCTCATTGTAAGTGGGTAGAAGTATGGAATATTTGTTTTTCGAACTGGTGCTTTGATCTGAGCTGGACATTTCTTCTGATATATTTGGACTGGTGTAATTATCAGTATTCAGAAAATTGAATAGCGAAATAATAATCAACTGCAAAAAGTACTGGGTCATATGAATATTTACAAAAATACTAATGTTACCTTAGGCACATCAGAAAACCAGTCTGCAATGCAAAATTTTCTTATTCTTTTTATTGTACCTGCGCGTAAATCAAATCATTCGTTCATTATCATACTTTCAGATTTATCTTATCAGTTTATTTAATGAAAAAATTATATTTATCAACTAGCCACCTAGTCAACATTCAAACTTCAGACAGTGACATATGACATATGAAGTTCGTCAAAGTCATAGTTTGTTCGTTGTAACTGTAATTCTGTGTACTATATTCTAGTAGAAGCGATTAGTGCATACAAAACACATTTTTTGACCTCATAAATTGGTTGGACAAAAATGCTGAGTAATCTTAAGAACACTTATTCTTGAATTTTCGTTGAAACACATTTTATACCACTATCATACAATTGTGGTCATAGCTCTACCACTCACTATTGTGATTCCTGCACCATACGCACATTAAATTTACATCATGAATATTTTCCTGATCACCATTATGTAATATTAATAATGGTTGAGTAACGAACAAAGTAGAAGTTATGTTTAGAAACAATCATATGGATGACTTGGGGTGTGAAAACGCATAAGATAATAATGGTTCTTTTCATTACAAACTACAATAGACATTCTCATCAGAATAAATGTGGAGTGACAAAGTTGATGATGCAACTATGCTTGCTCCGGGGGTACTGTACCTACTCAACAAAAAGATTCGCAAAATACTCCAACTCCAAAGGAGTTTGCTTTCCACATCGTCCGTTTCACAGTGTTATTTTTAAGACAAAAAGCAAGCCATGGGTTTTGAGTTTTTTTTTTGAATGGTGCTGGATACATGAGCATGTTTTATGAAGACTTGGTTTTCCACACAGAACAAGACGTGACTCTTTTACCGAATCGGAACCCTTTAATTTGTAGATTACTTCAATTCTACAGTCACCAGGAGTTTATCTGTGCATATAGTCTTCTTAAACAACATGGATAATAATGATGAGTTTATTTAGCTAAAAGTTAATCAGTTTTTCGTAAATCTGGTATCCCTCTCTGAAGAATCGATAATTTCATCCACCGAAGTTCCTGTTACGTTAATCAATCTGTCATTTGCAAATAGTTGTATATTTAATTTTTTATATTTTTGCAAATATCATTTGTGTATAAAATGAACAATAGGGAATAGAGGTCCCAAAAAGACTATATGCGTAGAATTCAAATCCACTTTTCACTTTATCAGTGAATTCCACTGTATTCATTTTTTTAAGAACTCATTTAGAGTTTCGAAAGCTTTTTTCATATCTAAAAATTAATACCAACAATAAAACGATGACTTCCATTCATTAACTAAGCTTGTAACGCAATTTCACACTTAAATTGGAGCATTAACGAATACACATTATAGCTATATTTTCCGTATGATTTTGAGCTATTAGTCAATTTAATTCCGCCAGGATTAATATTGTGAGCTCAAGATTCGATGGAGTCGACGAAGGCTGTTTTTGCCTGGTCCTGATTGGCAGAAGTTCTACCGGTAAGAAAGGTATCGAAGTGTTTGGAAAGACGGTAGTCGTGGGTGAAGCAGAACTTCGATGCTCCAATTCGTTTAATTTTCAGACGATGAAGAAGAAATTAACTTTAAATGTTCAAGCCCGTTTCGGATATACCTACACAGTAGGTTGAATGGACTGACGCCTATCACAAAACAACTACTCCCCTGGCTAATACCACGAAGGGCTTTGGATTATATCAAACCAAGTTACGTCATACTGATATATTCACGTCACACTAATATTTAATTAAAACATAACCTGCGGGGATTTTTTGCAAAACTTTCAACCACTTTATCATTAAAATTATTTAAGATTTTATTTATTATAGCTCTGTGTACACTCATTATGGTCAGACCATTAAGGCAATCTTCTGCCGTGGTGCTTTTTAGCCATGTTTTCAGTTTTCTGCACCGTTTGTGATGGATCAATCTCCACCAGGGTCATCAAATCCTTGCCCTGGATCTTCGAAGCTGAAATCTGCGGAACGAAATTTCGCAAACCAAGGTCAAACAGTGCGCTCCTTAACATCATTGCTCATTGCCAAATGCCTGATGGTTAATTTTGCGGGCTGTTTCGGCAGCGCTTAGGTTCAATTTCAATTCTTAGAAAAGTTAGCTGAAATTTCGCTTAACGGCATCATAAAGTAACAAGCTGAAAAGAGGCAAGAAATTAAAATTTGGAAAAGCCAGTTTTTTATTGTATCAAAGTCTGATTCTACAATATACTTGAATTCTTGCCAATTATTTGCCTTATAGAATATTGTTGTGTCGTCTGCAAATTCCAAAATGTTCCCTTTACTTTCTAGAAAAAATAAGTCTTTTATGTACATATTGAATATGGTAGGTCCAAGAACCGTACCCTGAGGTAACCCAGTATCAATATACTTACTTCTCACTGCTTATAATTTCATCTATTCTCACCGTTTGTACTCTGTACGTTAGGTAACGCCTAAATAGATTCAAGGGAGTACCCTTTATGCCATTATCTTCCATTGTTTGTAGAAGTAATGTGGTGTCAAACGCTTTTGATAGGTCTATGAAAACGCAAAGACTCGGCTTATTTTCATTAAGAGCTTAAGATATTTCAATGATAATATTGCATCTTGGTTAGATATATTTTCTCTAAATTCAAACTGATGATCAGATATTAAATTGTATTTTGAAATGTATGATGTCAGTTTTTTTTTCAGTAATATTGTTTCGACAAATCAATGCACAGCTTGTCAAATCTAAGAAGACACTCGAGAACTCTTTCTCTGTCTTCTCTCTTTCTCTCTCACTCTCACCGTCTTATAAGGAATGCAGATTTAGTGGGCGGGGCCATAACGGAATTCAGAAAGCTCTTCCTACATTTGACAAGCTGTTCTTTGTATTTCCTTTAAAAGAGTTTTTTGACTTTTATCCTCAATTTGTAACTTCCAGCTATTCCTCTCAAAATATTTGTCTCCAATTTGGCGTATTTGGTAATTAAAATCTCATTCGAGGAAACTATTAAAATCGTTCCTAGGCCCTCTCATTCGATCCGAATTCAAACGCATCTGCTACTTGAACCTAATTAACCAGAAATTATACAGTCTCTCGGTAGTCATCTAGAAAGGATACTAAACCGGAGAGTGTCCTCTGATCGCTAATCTTTCCAATCCAGTGACGAAAGGGAATGAGAGAATTGAAATGTTCAGTCTGAAGTGGTGTTTTTTCCTATACGAGTTATTGGGTTACAAAGAGATAGGACATCTTTCTGGTTATTTGCTCACCGCTGTTTAAATCCCACCGCGATTATCTGGTTCGTTTATCTTTTCGGTTTTATCGAACCGCATCTCGACAGTTCTTCAGGTCGGTCGTGCGGTGACCAATGACCAGAAGCAGATGCCCACTGGGCTTTTGAGAGTAATATCGTTAGTTTATAAAAAATCACGATTGGTTTGAAAAACTGTTTTTTTGAAACAGTTCGAGAACGAAAAAAACACTGACTGAAAGTCATTTTTTTGTGGAGGAAAATCAGTTTTTCATCGACCTTTGACGTCTGTCGAAGAAGTTGAGAAATATAAATAATCAGCAAAAGAAGAGCTGCGTATAAACTTAAATTTCGTTCATTTCTGAAGACGGTAGTGATAATAATAACTTTATTTTCCAGCGGACAAATGATTTGTATAGGGATCGTCATGAAATTAGTTTCCAATCATTTTTTTTGTGTTGATACACTCGTCTCGAACAAATGTTCACAGTTGCAACTATTTTGCATGTTTAGTTTTGTAATAACTACGGTAGATCCTATTCTGTCAACAGTGTATCATCTATACGGGTTTTTATATAAATATAAGTCACCAGTGAAATAATACTCAATTGTCTTAATTCAACCTGTTGAACTACTACAAACGCACCAACTCAGTACAAAATACTTTTAGTTTTACTTTTACTTTAGGAATAGTGGTGTATAGCTTTAAATTTGCCTTTTTTTGTAACTGTATTATGAACTCCAGCTAAACAATCAGCACTAGGAACCCAACAATATATAACCTCTTTGCAAATAGGAAGTGGACTCAGAGAAAATAATATGTGAAATCTCTCAATATCAACTGGTTAGCAAAAAAAACAAACATAACGCCTTTTTGGCTGATGGTTCATGGTCAACCATAGGTTCCGTTGACCCGGCGTGTCTTCAATACCAACATTTTAATTTCAAACTCCCCTGTACCCATTACCAGTTTATGATTTTACTACCGATTTTCCTAAGATTTCGCACCACGCGCTTACAAACAAGATAACTCCCCTATTTAGGCTACCTCTCTCAGCCTCGAAGGCTGAGGGATGAGACCCCCGATCTCATCTCCGGTGACCGACTTTTCGTCTCACCAAAAAAACTCCCAAGCCTTCGTGTCACCAACGCTAGCCACAAAAACCTCATCTCAGCGTTTTTAACCTTTCCAAGCGTATGATCATCGGCAGGATTTAATATATTCATTTGTTTAGTCTAGCCCAACTTGAACATGACCACAACGACGCTCGAAGGTCCAAAACAGTTATAAAGTAGTTCAAGCGCTTTTTCAACTGGAAAAATATCGACACCGAAGAACCGCGTGATCAACCTCGATCTCTGAATAAAATTGTATTTTTCGTTAACACTATCGCAATGGCAGTTATTACAGTTTGTTGGTAAGAGGCATGAAAGTTAAAGAAGTTGCTGAAGATGGCGTATCAGTTGGATCATGAAGCGTTTCAGAGTCATCAGCAATCATGGTTATGGCATCGACACCACAGTGCAATGGAAAAGCCCAGAAGAGCCAAGACCAGAAAAAACACGCCAAATTCGATCAAATGTCTAGGTTTTGCTCACTGTTTTCTTCAATCACCGTGGTGTAGGAGTTCTTGCCACCGTTATCATGCCTCAGCCACCGTATTCACCAGATTTGCCCACCTTTGACCTTTTCCTCTTCCCAAGATTGAAGAGACCCATAGAACGACGATGCTGTGCGACGATTGAGGAGATAAAAAAAATAAATATTTGGAAATAAAATCTGGAAACATTCATCTCTCCCAAGGTCCTGGCAAATGCCTGCCGGAAAACAACTACTTTCCCGGCTAATATCACGCCGGATATTGCATTATATCCGAGACATTTACGCCAGATACCTTACAGAGGTTAATCTCACAGATGTTTCTTGTTTTAGCGAAAAGAGTAAACAGTATATAAGACCATCAATATTTTGAAATCAAATCTCAAAATATTCATCTCTCTCAACTTCCTACAGCGTAGGTTCTTGCCCTGGGGTCAATTTGTCAAATAGGAAGCAATTATATCATTGCATACTCCTTTGATACCATAGTTTTGTATGGTATCAGGACCTTTGAAAGGTCAAAATATAAGCCTACCATAGTAAACTTGTTATCGATATATTCAGTGGCATTATAGATTTCTAGTTCTGTTGAAAATCCTTTCCTGTAGCCATACTGATTCGGATCTGGAATTAATACGGTCAAATTTTGCTCTGTTAATGTGAACATAAATACAAACATGAAAAATATCTGCAGAATTTCATGAGAATTGAATAGGGGTCTACACGATGTTCTTTGATCAACACCTAAGACTGTGTTATCATTCACAGATATCTCTATACCGGACCAGTTTTGTGTCTGTGATGGAATCGTACAGTGGGAGTTGCAGCTACATTGAAAGGAAGAAAGCTTTCACTACACCAGCAAACTAAACTATCAATAACCCCATTAAATTTTTTTAAAGATTATCATCTTCATTCGAAATTGAAAGAGATGTGTCGTCTGCATACATGATGCATGTGGTGTCAGCAATAATTGTAGATACTATTCGTGTCATTGCAATATAGTATGGGTCCCAATATCGACTCTTGAGGTACACCAACATGTGAAATTTTATATCTGAAATAAATTTTGAGTAAATTTCATTGGGTCTGTGATTCAAACAGACAAAGTGACTTCTATTTCTGATAAAAGATTTAATCCAATCAATTGCATTACTTTCCAGTCCATATGAATATAATTTGTTTAATAACCCCATGCTGTTATTCTGCCCATTTTTTGACTAGTCGCCTCAATTACCATAGGCATTTTTAAAGCTAAAGTATGATTTTGGTTGAGAAAATTCTCAATCAATTTTTCATCATATATATCAACTTCTTATCTCTGATATCGAGAATACGTGGTGAGATGATGAATAAAATGGGGTCCACAAATTTGTTTATTAGGAACATGACGACATGTTTGAGTTTCAAATTGTACCAAATACATTTTCAGTACCTAATGGGCAAGAAAAAATAAATAAGTAGTGGTTTATGTGCATAAAAATACGGTATATTTCATAAATAAATAAATATGTTTTGTACAAACTTATCATTAAACTAAATATATACAAGTGAAATCAGTCGTTTCCAATATTCGATTGGCGAATACAATATTCAATTTTCAAAACAGAAATTTAATTCAGAAATAAGTAATATAATTTGTCAGTTTAATTTAAGTTTTTTCACATGTTTCCATTATATTTCTCTAGTACCAGTAGAAAGTTATGAGTGAAGAAACAACGTATTAAAAATCAAAAAGATGAAAAATTGGAGGATTCGTGGAATCCCCGAATACATGGTAGGAGATCATCATATGACAAATAGAACTTCTAACCACTTTGTATTATAAATTATAATAAACTGAAATAATCAACAGTGTATAACCTAGCAAATGCCAGGTAATCTAATTTCCTTTTTAATGCCAAAGATGAAGTGGGCAAGATTAAGAGATTGGAGCCGAGATCTGAGATATGGAGTTCATAACCTCAAGTGTCCGGAGTCTAATAGTGTTTATGTGGGACAATGCGGCCGAAGTTTCTCAAAACAGACTAGGTAAATATGAATTGACCAATTCAAACCAATCCTTTAATTGCAACCACAAGTTCCCGAATATAAATGATACGGAAATTTTGCACTATGCAGGCAAGGGTTTAAAACTCAATTATTTAGAATCCTTGCATTGGCGTAGCGAAGGGGGGTCCTGAGGATCCCCCTCCGAAATTTCAAGATGTATTAAAAAATAAATTAAGCACGGAGCAGGTGAATGAAAGAAAAGTTGTCACTACTCTTGTTTACAAACATTAAATTATCATACCATTGTTGGTTTGTCCTTTTGTTTAAATCATCAAACGATACGTTTGAGCTCGGCAGCTCGGTTAGTGTAAGGCGGTGTTTGTAAAGCTGGCTGAATTTCAACTGAAGTGTCACAGTAACTCTAGTTCGCACGCCGACCGCTAGTGGAAATAGGAAATTAGTGCTGTAACTTTGAGTTTTGTTAACTTCATTTATGTAGATGATGTTAAACGTTATAAATATATTTTAACTACTGCTCTACACTTTTGTTACTCTAGTCTTACTCAGCTACTCATCTATATGTTTATTTTTTGTCCGGGTACCCCCGGACCCCCCTCGTTTTGGACCCACCGAACAAAATTTCTGGCTTCGCTACAGAATCCTTGGAAAGTCATAGACATTAGAATTGCGGATGTAACACATTAAATTACCAAATTGACTTGTCTACTGGCCGGTTTTCAGATTAGCGTACCCACATTGTCACAGGTAAATAAAATTCAGGTAATAAAGTAAATGAGGACCATCTGTTATTACCTAGAGTGGTTGTATACCTATATAAGGGAATACATTGTTATTCATTTCCGTTTATTGTAATTGCTTGGTAATGTCCTTTCAGGACGAAACGTTAGTTACAAATACAAAGTGGTACAAAAACATAAGAAGTTCCATTTCTCATTTCTACCTTGTACCTTGATTCATCACTTCAAATTTATCAATAGATTCATGACTTTCGAGGAACTTTGCAAAGCTCTGCCTGCAGAAGCAGAAACCAACAAGCATTTTGTAATTCTCGATCATCGGTGACTGAAATCGAGAATATTAGGTGGGCTAACATAAAGAAACGGCATTGACACTTGAGGTTCGCTTGTAACGAAGCTGGTGATGGTACTGGAAGCCCCATCAGAGCCTCTTGTGAGCTCCTTTTGGGCTTGCCTACTTCCGCAAGAACCTTCGACAGGACTTGGGTACTTCCGGCTATCTTTCCGAAGCAGGCCCATTTCTTCCCTCCTCTTCCTCGCCCTTCGGTTCTGGAACCAAATCTTCACTTTGACGTCCGCCAAATGGAGCATCTTCGAGAGGTTTGTAGCCTCTTCGCTGCTGAGGTATGGGCTCTCTTGGAATTTTTCCTCCAGAATCGCTATTTGCTGGTTCGTGAAGGGGATTCGTGGATATCGGCCGAGCTGGCGTTTTTGTGGGGTGTCTCTCTTATTTATTCCTGAAAAGAAAATGATGTCATGAAGTTTAATCGGAAGTAAAACCGAGTGTCACTAGTGATGGCTTTGTTTTTGAAATACAGAGTCAGAGTTTCAAAAAAAGTCTGGTTTTCAAATGCCAATTTATCAAAAANCCAAAAAGTTTATATGCAAATTGTGAAATATGATATTTTTAACAAAATCTTTAGGAACAATTGATCAATACAATGCTGAAAATTTTAATTTGAGTGACTACTGCAGGAAGTGGTTAAAGTGTGAGTGGTTAAAAAAAATCATACAACGGCGCTACTTTTTGAGGACTGAAAAATATTTTCTAATTCGATATGAATATAATTTGGAAATTATAAACTGCATGATTACTTTCACTCATTTTCTTACTCGATTTGAAACGTTATTTTGAAAATTTAACACAACTCAACTCATTTCTTTGAAATCATGGCTTCTACGTCAATTACATTAGGAAAAGCTATTTTTTCAAAATTTTCGAAAATACTTCAAATATTACCAATTTTTATTCTTCAGTTTTCCATGCAGTTAATGTTATTTTTTTAATTTAGATTCAGAATACCTCAAATATCGTTAATATTTTTCAGTTTTTTTCACTAATAGCTATTGATTAAAAAAATTACTCACTAGGCACTCTTGGTGGGCAAAATCTCGTACAATGCAGCCAAGAAAACGGATTGGAACCTTTTGGATCCTCTGAATTTTCCTCATTTTTCGCTTCTTTTTGAGTCTCACATCCGGCTCTGTTCAAAATATGCTCAATACTGAAATCACTGAGACTCCTCGTTGTAGGATTATTCTCGTTCTCCATTCTCAAAATCATCACTTTTCCCAAACTCCAAAAACACTTTTTCGAAACGACCAAATGAATAGTAATGTTTCCGTTTAAAAAAACCCTTAGCCGTATCTGACGAAAACAAGTTCTACCCTTATTTTATACGTAGGTACACCCCACTCCAAACAGTAACATAATCTGCGGCAGATCTTCATCTTTTTGGGCAATTAGGCATAAAATCTGGTAGCCTGTTGTGTTTGCCAATACAAACGCCCTTTGGTGTTTCTTACAAACCAACATGGTAACTACGGCTAATTTACCGATTACTATAGGTTTGCTTTGCGGTTTGAGATGGTATCTCTCGCCTTTTGTGTGCGTTTTTTAATGTTGTGATACTCCAAATCGAAACTGATAGTTATAATTTAATCATTTTATTTTAGATGCGCAGACCACCCTGTTTCCCATGAGGGGTAGATGTAATGTAGAAAAAGTATACGCGTCCAGTGAGGGAGTGCCCCAAAGTTCAGTTTTGGATCTTGATAACTATTGAATTGTATCAAAAGTTTTGATCGTTTTCGTGGCTCCATATCTCAATAAATATTCAAATCTAATCGTATGTTATGCTGGAAGAATTAAGACGCCTATACAAGGATACCAAAAACTCGACTTTAAACTCGAAATGAAGACTATGAAACTCAAAATTTCGACTTTAATCTCGCAATTTCGACCTTAAATTAGAAATTTCGACTTTGAACTCAAAATTTTGACCTAAATCTCGTAATTTCGAGTTCAAACACAAAATTTCGACCATAAACTGGAAATTTTGACTTAAATCTCAAAATTTCAAGTTTAAACTCAAAATTTCGGGTTAGATGTCGAAATTTTGACTTTAATCTCGAAATTTCGACTTTAAACTCAAAATTGAGACTTTGAACTCGAAATTTTGACCTGAATCTCGTAATTGTGACTTGAATCTCGAAATTTCGACTTTAAACTCGACTTTTCGACTTAAATCTCGAAACTTTGACCTTAAACTCGAAATTTTTACTTTTGACTCAAAATTTTGTCCTAAATCTCGTAATTTTGACTTCAATCTCGAAATTTCGACTTCAAAGTCGAAATTAAGACTGAAACTCGAAATTTCAACTTTAATCTAAAAGTTTAGACTTTCATTTCGAAATTTCGACTTAAAACTCGAAATTTAAACTTGAAACTCGAAATTTCGACTATAATCTTGAAACTAAACTCAAAATTGAGTTTAGTGAAATTTTGACCTAAATCTCGTAATTTCGACTTTAATCTCAAAATTTCTACTCTATACTCAAAATTATGATTCGAGGCAATGCTTTGGCTCTGATGTAGAACTACCTATCAAATCGAATCCAACAAGTGAAAACTGGAAATGAAATAAGTAGCGAACTGATTGTATAAATTGGTATACCACAAGGGACCGTTTTGAGACCGGTACTTTTTCTCATTTACATTAACAGTATATAAAAAATCATCAATTTCATAGACGACATAATATGCTAAGGTGATGATACTGTTCTAATTGCCTAGGCTATAATTGCCTAGCGTGAGTCATTTTTAATCTCGCCTACAAAAGCCTTGTATATATTTTAAATGTGTTAGTAAACTTGAGAATAGTGTTAATGATGACAACCGTATTCTTTCTTTTGTGATCGAATAAACTTTGATTTGAAAATCGAAATTACGACTTTGAAACTTGAAATTTTGACTTCATACTCGAAATTACGACTTTGAAACTCGAAATTTCGACTTTGTAACTCGAAATTTCGACTTTGAAACTTGAAATTTTGACTCTCGTTGGATGGAAGAGCAACATCTGTCTTGATTTGCCATGTGCAGATGTTGAATTCTGTCATTTGTTAGGTTAGATTAGTATCTCTTGTACTAAGTAACCTTTCAATAAAAGCATTTATTATTACTAATGTTATAAATAAATTTCGACTTTGAAACTTGAAATCTTGACTTTGAAACTGTAAATTAACACTTTCAAACTCGAAATATGGACTCAAATCTCGTAATTTCGAGTTTAAAATCGAAATTTTAAGATTAAAGTTCAAAGTCGTAATTTCGAATTACGAGATTAAACTGGAAACGAATAAAAAATATGCGGCCCTGCTGCGCTTCCGTAATTATTACCCTATTCCTTGATTGAGTATTAAAAGCAATCAAATGATACACCACATTATTCGACTGAAACATAAAAACAATTTGGCATTCCAGTGACTGTGAGAAATCCACATTAAACTTTCTTTCCATCATACCATCCCCATCATAGTTGGCTACGGCACAAAAGCCGACTTCCCGCTGCTTATAAATGAGATTTTATTGTTCGAATTTTACTAATTTTTTGCATGGACAAACATGACTACATGTAAGCGATACCTTTCAACGAGGTTGAGATAATCGAATTTTCGTACAGTGGGTCAGACGTCAGAATGTATTTATGTATTTCATTAGGATTCGTCGAGACTATTCAAATATTCCGTTGCGAAATACATATCTTGCAAACTCACTAGGCATGTTGAGAAAAAAGGTGGAAGATTGCCGAAATACAAGTTTGCTGAAATAAAAGAAGTACGTATACTCGTTGACATTGTCGAAGATAAAAAATTCCGACATATGCAAGACTATTCCGTAATGATGAATCATTGAAATTTTGATAATTCAATTTGTCGGTGTTAACAAGATTTGTTGGTAGAAAGCAGAGGTTTTCACTGACAGTGGTGCTAATACTATTCAAAGAATAATTTGTGAAGTTACTAGAATATTAGTGGTCTCAGTCAGGCAAAACAAAAATATGTTGAAGCTGGTAGGTTATTATTCATTATTAGCAAACACATCAGTAGTATTCGCAGAATTAGTGACAAAATGAGGGAGCCAGTAGATTTTTCAAAATTGTATAGAAATTCCAGGAGGGTTGTAACAGAATTCAGATTTCAGCCATAACTGCTTTGAGTTAAAATCGAATATTTATAGCAGGCCAAGTGTAAGACGAATGAATTTTTATGAACAGGCAAAGAAAATATTGAAATTGAATATCAAATTGTCTGAAAATACAGCGTGTTATTCAAGAATGTACCATAAATTAAACAGATGATTCTTTAGGTAATTTTAAGACGAAATGTTCATATAAATATGGGTCCGCAAATCCTTCGTTCTCAAGATACAGGGTGTTAAAATAAAAATAAAAAAAAGTTATTCGGTATTCTTCTCCATTAAGTCTGGGGGAAGGAAGTGAGGTCCAATTAGATGGTCACCGACAATTCCAACCCAAATACCTATTAAAAGAAAACTGTTCTTGAAAATTATTTACTATCAAGGCGTTTGGATTGTTTTCAACCCAAATGTGATTGTTGTGGAAGTTAATAATTGAATCGCGAGAAAAACGAGCTTCATCTGTAAACAATATTCGACTTAGGAAACATGGCTTTTGTTCTTATTTTACCGCGTAACCAATTAGAAAAAGCTAGTCTTACAAGCAAATTTCTGGGCAATAGAGCTTGCACACGTTGCATGTGATAGGGATATAGCTGCTGGCCTCTTGAAATCTGCCACACGAGTTTCCGTGAGCCATTCGTGTTTCCGTGAGCCATTCTATAACAGAAATGCATATCTGCCATTTCACTGTTAGTAAATTGAATCATGTTTTACGAAAATGATTCAAAAAATAACCATTAAACACACTTTTTATAACAATTATAAATTAAAAGCTTATAAAGTGGACAACAAATGTCAAGTTGTTTATTATAAATGCTGCAATCCTTTATTATTTATGGTATTTTCAGAAGAGTACGAAATTCAATGATGCGGCGGCTAGACGGTTGTATTGAAGCCGAAGGAGGCCATTTCCAACACTTAATTTAGTGCAATTTGTTAGTCTAGATGTTATTGTTATTTAACATTTGTTGTTATTGTTAATGAAAAATTGTAAAATTAATAAGTTACAAAAGAAACATTCAATTCCCCATATTATTCCTTGTGAGGTCCAGGGATATGCAATTAGGTCGACTTTTTTTTCTTAAAAACTAAGCAAGATACCAAAAAAGATTCAAGAGACAAAAAAGTTGTATTTTTAATTGCCTAATCCAAATAAATAATAAAAATTGCACAACATTCAGTAGAGTACAGTTTTAAGTCAAAAATGTTCGTTCAAATCTCGCTCGAGACGCCACTGGACTTAATAAATTAAATCACGTTCGGGCTAAATTAGCTCCTTAATGTTATAAATAAGATTGCCAAATTACAACAAAATTAGGTAAAAGATATTTGAGATATTTACGAATTTTTTTTTAACACCCTGTATCTTGAGAACGAAGGATTTGCGGACCCTTGTTTGTGTGAGCATTTCGTCTTAAAATTACCTAAAACATCGTCTGTTAAATTAACACTCTGTATAAGATGCATAGGGCATATACGCTGCCTGTTCAAAAAACTAGGCAATTTTTTTTTCTCCAAATCATTCATCATTTTCTATTTTGCCCCCGCCAATGTAGTCCCTCTCAGGTATAATACACTTGTGTCAATCCTCAAAGTAGTTCTGATGTGCACTTTTAGGTATATCCTTGAGCTCCTTCAGCGATTTGTTTTTTATCTCCTCAATCGTCTCAAAACTCCGTCTTTTCATGGGTCTTTTCAATATTGGGAACAGGAAAAAGTCGCAGGGGGGCAAATCTGGCGAATACGGTGGCCGAGGCATGATACCGGTGTTGTTTTTGTTTGTTACGACGACGAATAATGAATACAAATTTTTGAGAATAATGATAATTCACCTTATTTTTTCAACATACTCGCACACCAAACGTTTACTTGATCTTCAACTTCAGAGAAGTTGTCACAATAAAAACCAACATGAGCATTCACTTTCTTAAATTGAATGCGAAAAATAAAGTAAAAGTTTGGTGCAATAACTAGTTTTAAAATCGATGTTGTCTATCATTTCATTCTTCATAGGAGAGATTCACAAAAATTTTTTTTTTTATTATATGCTACCGTTTTCATGTACTGTTATATCAAGATACTTTTATATCGTAACTCTTTTATACAGGGGGTTCCAACGAAAACTTGACCCCCCTGTAAATCAGAAACGGACGTGTAATCGAAAATTTCAAAGAACACGTCAATTTTTATTAAAACTAGGGCCACACTAGCGGCTAACGTCAATGCCCATTATTTTTAACGCGCTTAAGTGTGTGGCTACACTTAATACGGTCAACGTGAATGCCTATTAGCGATTTCATATTTTTCTCTTGATGTGCTTGGTAGCAAATTATTGCAAACATCTATTGCTTTGTGAACAATTTCTGGAGGTGTATTTTCCAACTCTAAATCTTCATATTCCATTATATTCAATATTTAATAAATTTCAACTATTTATGCTATAATAATCAACAATAAAACTATTTTCGTTGGGTAAGTTGACAGCAATAATTATGCAGTGCTTCGGTTTTGTTGTTATGGAAACGCCGACAATGGGCTACTTGGATATTGCTATTGCGCTACGTCGGCGTAGCGTTGTCAACATATCATATCAATCTGACATGTAATAATTCATGACTGACTGACTGGGTTATCGTGATAACAGTGAGAAATTATTTGTCACTGTAATGGCGGATATATGTTTCACTGCGTGAGAAATCTTTCGTTTTGAAAATATGAAAGCAATGACAGAAGTGGTACATTGTATAGCATCCGTAGAAAAAGTTTTTTCCCAATACGATGATGCATTGGTATCTAGTTAGTCTAGACCAGTGCCGTGGACAAACGAAATATTGTTTTACTATAACAACGAAGAAATACTTATTAAAGATGTCGTTGAGAAGTGTCTTACCAGTTTTTGGGTGTGTGAAAAATAAAATACTTCTACTTTGAAATTTTGTTTGCCTCTATAGTAGGCTAAGAATTTTTTAATACATCCTCGTATTCACTGGCCTTAGCAGCTTGTTTTGTCGATGGCGAATAATGAACGAGAATTTCGTTATTAAATGTTAATTTCATAATCGTGATTTCAACATAAGCAAGATTCATGAAGCTATTATGGGTGCAGTTTCTTTAGTACAACAAAGTGCCCGATTTGTGAATCATCCTATTGCAATTTGATTTCCGCTATGAGATTTTACCCAGTAAGTCGTTAAATTTTCAATCAAAAAGAATACATTTTTTCATTTTCATCAGATAGTATTCCTATCTTTTAATACTTTTCAGAATAACTATAATGGATGATAATAATAATGGTTTATTAGTTATTTAGATTATGTCTGGCATAATATAGAACAAATCAGTATAGTACAGTATCAGTTAAAAAAAAGTATAAGATAAATTAATATTCAAAACTTTTTCTACAAATTGTAGCCAACATAATTAATGTAGTTATTGATGTAACTAAGTGCGTGAAAGCATGTAAAAGGACTCAATATAATAGTAATGGTGGTTAATTATTTGTTATTCGATCTTATGACTATTTCTTACATAATACAGAACAAGTCAGGTGTCAGGAACAGTTTGTCCACACGAATTTTCAATGTCACAAGTAGGAGACAAATTATAAACAGATTACAGATCATACATAAGAACATCTAAAAGCAATAAAAACAAGTGGTTTGATAAAATATGAAAATATGCATGGATACATAAAATATAAAATCAGCTCTGCTCTTTTCTAGAGTTTGAGGACTCTATCGGCCTCCTGGGCTACTCCCCATACTATGATTCCATATGTCATTACTGACTGAAAGTGTACAAAATATAATAATATACTGAGTTGGTACACTTTGGAGCTAGTTTTTTGCACACTTCATTTATAGGGGGTAGTCCATGTACAGCGTTCATTCACATGCAGCCCAAGGAACTTAATAGAAGGTGCTTGAGTGATAGATCTGCCGTTAGATGTCAGCAACAAGCTGTGGTTGAATTTTTCATTGGTCTTCAAGACTGTTTGCTCTACATTGCTCCCTGTAGCTATGAGGGAGGTGTCGTCTGCATACATTATACAACTTTCATTAGAAATCCTTAGCAAAGGGACTAAGTAGCGCAGTTGTTCTGAAATTTTGAACATCTGTGACTCTTCCCGATTTGTAAATCGGAATAATTTTTGTCACTTTGTGCATGATGGAAAAGTACCTTCTTCAAGAGAACAATTTAAAAGATACGTTAATGGTTGCGTCAACAGATTCGCACACTTTTTTTATCAGATTTGTTGTTATATTCGACAATTTCGTTTGTTCCCAAGTCGCGAAATCTACTGCCTTGGATTCTCCTGCTCACTCTCACAGACAGCGGCGATGTTTCCGGTAGATCTTGTGTTTCGTTGACGTACGGGTGTTGGTTGATCGTTTGCTCAACCAGTAGGCTCAAATTTATCCACCACATTTCGAATGGTCCTCTCGGTAGGACCATTATGGCGACCGTAAAATGGGCGAAGCGCGCGGTACGTTGCCCAAACAAAACAGCCATTTTGATAAATCAATTGTCAAGGTTCGGAAATCCCTGTTGGAACAACCTATATTAAATGACAAATGAACTAATTAAAAATGTAAACGTTATAAAAAAATTCAGCAACCCATTGAATGGAAATGTACAACAACAGATACAACGTAGATATTATCGACTTCATACTTTCCAAAAACTATGGAAACTATTGAGGAAATGTATTGAAAACTATAAAGACAATACTTCAGTGTTGGAGTATATGAGTTGATTGTAGTTCTTGTCCAAAACTTTATGTTGGGCAAATGGGAAGAACTTTTTCCCAAAGATTTAAAGAGCTTAGAAGTAGTTTCTTGAATGGAAAGATCAATTCCACATTTGCAGAACATATTTTAGCAGAAGCATGAAGTATTTAAATGAATAAAAATTTCAAAATTAAAAACGAAACAATTTCTGGAATGGAGTTTTTGAGATGTAACGAACCAACGCTCTAGAGACATAGTGCTGCGAAATTACTGTTTGACAGTGTTCGAATCCCACCTTTCAAATCGAAAACAAACCGTAAACACTAGTTCTTCAACAACAATGTTATATATGAAAACAGAAGTCCCCCAAATCTCGGTTTTGGAGACATTCTTATTTTATTATATAACACTTACCCGACCAAAAGTAGCATCTCTAGCTGGGTTCTTACTCAATTCGCAAATGACACATTATCATAATGGTATAATAAAATCGAGAAAGAATACAAAAATATCTTGCAGATATCTCGATAAAATGAAAAGATTGTTTATGGATTTTCACTTGTAATGCACTGTTTGGAACCTTTGATGTAGTAATAAAAATTAGTGGAGTTTTTTCTCAACACCAAACCGTTATTTTCACATCTCGACACGTGTTTCGACCATCAAGTGATCATCATTAAACTGCTTAATCTTTCTCTTGAAGATGATTACTTGGTGATCGAAACACGTGTTGAGGTTTTGAAATAACGGTTTGGTGTTGGGATAAAACTCCAGTAATATTAGTGGATGCGTGTTGAGGCGTTATTTTCAACACCTCAACACAAAGAGAAAGATTAAAGTAAACAGTTCACTTTAATCTTCCTCTTGAAGATGAACTAATCAGTTTAGTGTTTTCTTACTTACAGATCCAGTTAACGTATCTAGTTGATTTGCCCCATTTGTATTCGTCTTTTCGAATATGATTCATCGAATTATTTTTTTTAGGTAACCTGTTTCACGATGCTTCTTGTGGTATTTCTACCCATTGGAGACGCAACAAATACCAAAATAAAAGAACCACCAAGTTATGAAGCAAAAATTGTACCTGAAAACTTCAAGGACGCAAGATTGGCTCTGGGATATGACAATTTCCAGAGGTTGCCTACTTCTGGTGGACTCAACCAACCGAAGAAGTATGCATGGGATAACAATGGTCCTCAAGTCAAACTCAATTTCAGATTTTGAGAATTAACAGTCTTCTCTATGTTTTTCTACTAACCAAAATGAACCAATAGTGAAAGTTTAATGTTAACATTTAGTTTATCAAATAGATCTGTCGAAGAATAAAAAAGGTCATTCTTAGTAAGAGAGAGAATATATTTTATTGTGGACAAAGTTTCACTTACTCTTCAATGCAGTTATATGTAAAAACAAAGTGATTTATTTTTATGATCTCTTAGACTTAGAATAGTCCCTCAAAAACCCTGTTCAAGCAGATGCGAAAAACAGAAAACACTAGCTTATGTTTGTACCACAGTTGGTCGCACATCTCAAATACCCATCTTATCCTGTTTATCCTACTTTTCTCATCATCCTTTAGTCTAATTCGGAGAGCGGCGGGCAAATGGCTATCATATACCCATTTAAAATTAATGTATCGAGGGTATTATTATCTCCCTTACGCAAATACATGTTTGTTTCTCATTCTGAATGGCAGGTAATTCGACACCACAGGGTGTAAGTTTCAAAGGGCGCCGGTATTGGACGTTCTAAAGCTGCGCCAGACTCGTGCCTTTCAAGCCAGAAATTAGATTTAATCTCTTAGTGGAAAATGCTGTGATTGGAGTAGTTCAAGAGTTCTAGTTTTATATGTATGAAGACGTACATTAAGAGCAAAAGAAATGCGTCACGAAGTACTTACGTGCCTGTTCACGACAGTACGTCGTTTTCTTAGTCATGAAAAAGATATTTCCTTTGAGAAAATGATAATAATAATTTTTAAAAGCGTGCTTTTTAGTTTTTTAAACTATATTTATTTTTAATTTTTCAGTTTCGTATGCTATAAAATCGTGTTTTTTACACTTTTTAAACTATATTTATTTTATCTAAACTTTGGGATCAATCAGCCGTATATTGCTTAGAAAAATGACCATTGATATTTTCCGATTCCGGAGAGGAAGCCGGAAAATCAGATATAGGTTGTTCACGATAAGAAGAGAATGACGTCACAAGATGACAAGTTACGGCGTTGCCAACATGTGCACTATTTCGACCTTTCAAATTTCAAAATTTTGTACTGTTGATATGTTGTATTCCTAGTACCTTTACTAACTTTTAGTATTTGTTGGGACTATTTCGACAATGCTTTAGGCATATTGAATATACGCAGGTCTTATCAAAAGAAATTATTAGTTCTGAAAAGAAAAGAAACACTGACAGTTTTCGAGTTTTTTTCGATTCGGCAACGTCTGAAATTTTACAGTTGAACAACTTACAAAATGAAATGTTACTAGTTTCATTGCTGTTGAACGCATTTCAGTGGGAATTTTAACGTTGTTATGTTGGATATACAAAATTACCAAAAATGACGTCATTCTCTTAACGTGAACAGCCTATACCAAGCCCAAGGAAGGCAGCAGGCGCGCAAAGGAGGGTTACAAAAAAAAGCAGCAGGCGCGCGTGTTGATTTAAAAAAAAAATACTTTTTTCAAATGAAGAAATACATGTAAAGTGAGTTTGAATTATATCAAAGATGTTACGTACAGCGCCATCTGCCCTCGAATAGATCAAGCAATACTGTCGATAATTCTTTCAAATACAGATCCCGAACTTGAGAGTTACCAACAAACAAACATACATACAGGTGGAGCTGATAAAAGGCGTGATTAAAAATGGGTAAAGAAAAAAAACAAAATCAAACAGTTACCTGCTTCTCTTTGGCGAGTTGTCTGTTGATCTGATCGCTGATGCGCTTCTGAGTTCGGATATCTTCAGATGCTTGCGCAGCATCTCTGTTACCGAAACAGCCCATGGCCGCCAGTGGGGACCACCAGCAATCGGCCCCCTTGTCGGCGGCCACTGGGCCACAGTCTGGACCTGACGCCACCGTGGCTGTCACACTGCGGAAAAACTTCACAAATAAGTATACAAAATGGTGCCTAGTTCAAGGTTTATGAAAAGTGATGAGTTTGATTTCGAGGCATGAATTATTAACTAATTTTCCTTTATTTTCAGTATTTTAATATTGAATTTCACAAAAAGGATTTGAAGCTTTATATCTTCTATTAATTATCTGCGAGCGCTTTCGACAGTTGGTAGTACTGTCATCTTCTAGGCACTCCTCAAACTGAACTTGTCATACTAATCTTCAGCCTTTCCCGTTTCAGTAAATGTTCACAAATATTTATTGCACCATTTTGGAAACAAATACCTATTATTATTAAATAAAACACCTATTACAGTTCTTAGTTTATTATAATTTCATATTTATATATTTATACACACATGGGTTCATCAGAAACAGTTTTCCCGCTCGATGAACCACAGTGTTCACATATACAATATTGGCAAAAAATAAACAAGTAAAATGAAAAAAAAAATACTGCTTTTAGATCTGCTCACAACTATTAAAATCACTCACATGCCCATTCGCTCCAGAATCCATACCTACACAAAATTGCTTGTGCATTTTTTGGTCCTAACCTAAATCGCTCTCACAGCGAACAGAAGTTAGGTTAGATTAAGTATTTTCAACATATTACTCCTTAAGATTTTGTATAACAAATACAAGAAAGTCCAGTAAATTTTTTAGAAATAATTTGTACAGGTTATCATAGAAATATCTAAAATAAACATCAATTACGGGGCCGCCGCCAAAGTGCGCCGGACTATGAAGTCTGCGATTAAAAAAAATTTGAGCTTTGTTATTCGGGTCATCGTTTAATAGTGAGACAATCGTGACGGCTTTGAGTAGTGTATATGACGCAAATTACGGCGCGCCCTGTACGTGCATCATTTACTGGTCGACACATAAACGTATAAAATTAGTAATATGTCAATGTTACGCAATCATCTGAATCTTAGCGTGTGTTTCATAGTCAAGAAGTAAAACTAAGGTTGTTACCTATCACACATACAGTTACATCAAATTTTTGGACAATTTTTTTCGTGCAGTTGATCCGAATAGTAATGTTGCTGTTAAGGGAAAGTGGTTTTTCACATATCAACAAGTCAATCGAAAACATTATGTTCCTCTACACCTAAATCAACAAAAAAACGTTCAAATAAGCATTCCATATTTCGGATTCACTGCACGGTTTGGTATTAAGAGAAAACGAAACAAGAATCTACGACTTGACCACAAACTCACCGTTACAGAATATAAATATTTATAATTTATTANGTATGCTAACAAATATAACATTCATTGAATAGTCAGCGGGCCAGATAAAGATCAGAATCAACAGAAAAAAATATATTCGATATGTCACAAGATAAACGTAGCATGGAAACCAAAACACGAGTATCCAGACTCGAATTTTTTTTCCCGCCTCGTAAAAGAAATAAACATCTACGAATTAGGCAGCCAATCGTTCTATTCGAAACAAGGTAAACAAAAGAGAAACCACACCATTTCATTGTTAGTTATCTGGCCCACAGCCTAAAGTTTTGGCTAACAAAAACAATGAAATTCGAATTGCAGGCGAAATTTCACCATTTCGTTTTCTTACGACTAGCGGCACATATATTGTATTTTTTATTATTTTTTATTATTAGTCACTACAGAACTAATAGAAGCATACATTTTTCTTTCAAGAGTCAAATCTGTCCCATTCAGAACGATCGGAACAAGGTAAACGAAAATCATCGAAGGGGTTATGTAAAAGTTACGTAGAACTGCCATGAGTACATTCATTTGTATATCCATATGACATTCAGTAACAGGATGGAAAAAAAACGAAAAAGTAGTGGACCAGTTCATCATATCCCAGCTGTGATAATATAATCAAACTATTGATTGAGGGAACCCCAAATATTGATATATTCAGGGGAAAAGATGAAAATAGATTAGTTTTTCCATATTTCGGTTTTGTAGCTTAACTTGATATAATAAATATTTCACTTACAAAATAAAAACGAAGAGGCTGAGCTACGTTCGACATTGGTCAATACTCTCTCGTAAATTCACCCCAAATGTTTGAAATGTTTCTCAAATTTTTGTGGCTATTATAGTGAACACTTTGTACAATTATTTCGTTATCTGATCAAAAACATACGTTTATATAAATTTTAGAGAAATAGCTACCTTATTTCAACGTCCTTTATGGCGGACATAAAGAATCATTTTTTGCTACTACAGTTAAAAAAAAGTCTCCATCGCTTACTATTTTTAACTAATTTTCGCTCACCCTCCTTACTGAATGTCCAAAAGACGTTTCGTGACGACTTTTTCCCAACTGAAAGATGAAACTCACTTCAAAAAAATGTGTTTTTTTCAGATATTTTCCACTAAAATCAAAAGAGAAGGTATTTACACAGACGAAATAAACGATGTTTCCTTTCAGAATGTATCTCGTAAAGAGGATGACCCAAACAAAATTCTTACTAAAAGAAAAAATTGGTATATGATTTTCTTTCAAAGTAGATCATTTCAAGTAAAATGGTAAATTAACACGTAAGTGTAAATATTCTCCGACTCCAACTCACAATAAAAATATTGCACTATCATTTGATTTGATCATAGACTTCAAACATATCCATAAACATACAAAAGTAACTCAGATCACATTTTCATACAGTTGGTAGCAAGACCCACTAATAACTTGAGACAATCTTGAAGCATATCGGTTTCAGTAACTCAGATGCAACCCCACTACAAAAGTAAACCTATCCGAAACGTTCACCAAATATGTCTGACACGATGAACATTCAGAAACCTCTCCATTTATATTTTATAATTAGTGTCATCCATTACGCAAAATAAAGCAAATTGAACAACTGGCGGGTAAGATACATTCAAATATTATTTTCATTCATAAGTTTCAATCCTTTCATGCGATTCATTAGGATCTTTTCAAATATTGGCAGTGTTTTTATATTCTATAGTTTTCCCGGAGTCTGCATTGTTGACCAAAACTTCACATTCGATATCCTTTATCTTTCCCAAATACTGAAATCAACTCGGAGTTCGTTGACAATTGTTGTCATCGATATTGGAAAATATTCCATTTTGAATAATCAATTCCAATTGATTTTTGTATTTTCAGAGATTGTTCGCAATACTTCAAGTTAAGAAGAGTTGACTGAGGTAAAATTAAAATTATAACTTGTTATAACCTCTTTCAAAAACGTATTTATTGATGTACATATACAGAAAAAAATTAATATTGTAGCAATTCATTTTGAATGTCGTTATTGATTATTACAATACGAGTTAATTTTCTATGGTTTTTCCAGAGACGTTATTATTCATTGAGATTTACTGAATAGTACAGAGCACGGCCCGAGTTTTTACGTTTCGATATTTGATTAGTTTATTGTTCAATAATGTTTTATTATGCATTTTAGTATAAAAAAGCATTGACATTTTCATTACAACAATAGAAATGATCTGGTTACCGAAACCGAAATGTTTCACTAATAGTGTGCACTGTAGTGAGAAGACGTTCATGAATTGCTGCATAATTTCTCCTTATTTGTACTTTCATCTTACGGGTCGGACAGTAACAGAAAAACTGGATGGAAGAACTTTTTCGAAAATGCCACGGAAATATACCCCGCACTTAACTAACTCGAATCAGCCTCCCATCGAGAAAACTCTGCTGCCTGACCCGCTGTTTTAGAGATTCACTATATTCTTAAATTTGTCAAGTAAAAAAAGAAACGCCAGACTCTGGTTACAAAAATTATTACTTGTTGCGTTGTATTTTATTGGTCCTACTCGGTTTTCAAGCTAGATGTTCATAGAGGATGGTGCATATTGAAGGCAATGGAGATGCTTCTGGTTGTTTCAACTTTGAACAAGCAAATACATAAGGTTGAAATGACTATTGAAAGTGCCAGTTACAACAACATCTTTCAAACAAAAAGCAGTTTAGTATAAAATGATGCAAGTGATTTTGATATTCAACTAGAAGCAAGTAGAAAATTCACTGGACTACTGTAGAAGAATAAAGTGTTTCTAGATAATTGTTCTAACTATTTTTTAAATTCAAAAAGTAAAACCCACAAAACTTTCACGTGACCAAGGCTTCTTGAAAAATCTGCTTTGTTGAAGCCAAAAACAACCATACACTCCCCAGTACCCTAAGAAATTAGAATTTGATACGTCACCTAAGTTTCCACAGTAAAATTGACCTAATGTTTCGGAGTTCAAAACTCCAACCTCAAAAACACGAAAACAACATGTCATCTACCATATGAATGAACTAGAAAATACGATCTTTCTACGCCGATCATAATTTTTTTATTTGACAAATAGTAAGCGAATGTTAGATGGGAGGACATTAGCGCTGGAGACAAGAAAGATGCTATAAAATGAGGTGGGCGGTTATAATAGTTCGTACTGACGAAGGTGCATACGTTGGATTATGTCACGACAATCGTTAAACACTCTTTTGATGTTCTCAGTGTCGACTGCACAGGTAAAATGCGGATAGCAGTAGTGTTTACCCTCGCCTGAAGCTGTACTTATACGCTGAAAAAAAAAAACATAGTAATAACATTAATAGTTATAATGACCAAGTTTACATGAGCATAACATTTGTTGTTGTAGCAATTGAGGTTCTGACATCCACTTTCTGGGAAGTATTTACATAGATCAAGCTTAACTAAATATCTACTTTATCTACTTTTATATCTACCATTGTTGCCAACATAACACGTAAATTTGTAATAAACGCGTCGTGACAACAGTTAATACTTCCTTTTCATCCTCTTGTTTGTCCTTTTATGAGGTGTTTGTCCTTTTCAAAATATGAGGTTATGAGGTCTGAACGCCTTAGTGCAAGTACTGCAGGTACTTTACAATCAAAACACAACAAGACCTTACATTCAATATATTACACAAAACAATACACACTCCTAGAAACAGTAAACCTAGAGAAAGTCCAATACAAAGAAAATTACCTGATGTACCCACATACAGGCAAATTTATCTAAAATACCTGCAGTACCTGCACTAAGGCGTTCGGATCGCATAAAAGGACAAACAAGAGGATGACACGTTCAGTTTGAGTACAGCCTTGATGATGATAGCACGACCAGCTGTGGAAAGCGCTCGCATATAATAAAAAGGAGTTATAAAGCTTCAAATCCTTTTTGTAACATATATTAATATTAAAATACTGAAAATAAAGGAACGTTAGTTACATCACTCAAAACAAAACAATATTATATCAATTGAACTGAAAAATGTTTGTCCGTTTTCAAATACCCATTTCTAGCATAAATTATACCGAATGGAAAAATATTTGATCTTTTCTTTTTTATCCACCACTTGCCTTTTTCTTATCAAGTCAAGCAGGCAGCGAAATTCTTATCTTTCCAAGTTCAACTAGGCATCAAATTCGACAGTTGAGAATTTCCATGTCACTAAATTATTACACTGCTCAAAGTAGGGGTTTATATGAATAAATAAATCTGGTTTTATAAAGCAATCTTCTATCCAAAAGGTGAAGCATTTTTCAAACGGGTCTGATAACATTTGATGAAAATTGAGTTTATCAATCTTGATTCAGTAACATCGGTTGTTAGAAATCCTTACTTAAAATAAAAATAAAATAACATGTGAACATGGTCAGTGAATTCCTTTGCAAGGGTCTACAGTGAGTTGGGCTAACAGTATATTCCAACTACAGACTATGTTGAACTTCTAGAAAAACAAGCACATGTGAAACGAGGTGAGCAAAAGTATAGATATCTATATAAAAATTCAATAAAAAGGAAGATATACACCTAATGAAAACCTTCTCCTACACCAGAACAAAAAGCATTTCTCTCAACGCTTGTTTCGCTCGCCAAGAGCATCATCAACAACTGTTTCAGCATCATGAAACAAATGAGATGCAAATACGCTAGTGTAGCTATTACTGAGCTTTTGTTTCATATTATCTTGTAGACCAGGCATAGTTGTTCAGAACTTGCGGAAAGGAAAACTTGCAACACTGTACTGTGAAAACAACTGAAGAAGGGACAGTTTTTAACTTTATTTTGGAAAAGTTTCAAGTCTAAATTAAATCAAGTAGTGTATTAGTTGTGGGTAAATGAGATGTGAAAGAAATAAAACAGAGTTAAGCTTATCACCAACTATCGAAATAAACTATCTTTCGACATCAAATATGATGTCAGAATATCAATAGAAAGGTAAAGTATATTATCTCATGAAAACTGATGTATTTTTTGTGTAAATTTATAAAAACGGAAAAGAGAACTCACCAGGAACTCATCTCTTATGAAGTACTTGGCTTTGAAAACTTCCGGCGGTTCGCTATGGTCATTGGCCACTTCAACCGGAATTTGGTAACGGCTAAACTCAGAAAAATAGTCTTCTAATTTGCTTTTGCCTTAATGAAAACAAAAAAAAAACTGTAAGTAAACAACACAAGTGAAATAAACACAGACCATAATACCTGCCAAAATTTTTTCGGCAAGGAGATCTTGCTTGTTGAGGAACAGAATGACGGATATGGTCCTCAGCCATCTGTTGTTCCATATCGACTTGAATAGATCTAGGCTTTCCCTCAGCCTGTTCTGAGTCGGATCTTCTCTCAAGACCATGTTGTAGGAGCTGCACGCTGTGACGAAAATTATCGCTGTTACGTCATTGAAGCACTGGATCCATTTACGTCTCTCGTCTCTTTGACCACCAACATCAAACATACTGAAAATATATTGTTCGATAAAGATTCGAAACCGAGATGAACAAACATATTCATATAGTAGATGATTCTTTGTTTACATTGAGGTTCAAGAAAAAGCGAAACTTTGTGTGACAGACACACTATTATGATTAAAGAATGGTTATTGATGGTAGTTAATATAGAATGAATGTGCCTTTGACGAAAAAGTTGATAATATATTTACGAATAAACACAAATGTACAAATATTTTTTGATCAAAACTTGAATTATCATTTATTAATGATATTAGTGATAGGAATCACATGTTGAAAGGTAAGACCTCGTTAGTTCTTAGCTCGCACAAGTGCCGGCTTCTGAGGGTTGTCGTTCGTAGGAGTGCGACAGCTGGTTACGGGAAAAACATATTTTAAACATATTTTGTAGTACAACTCATCTTTTGAAAGTTTTGGCATAAAATTCAAAACTTCAAATCACCCTCAAAGTATCACACTTGAGCGGTCATAAAACACTACTGGAACAGCCCTACTATTATTATTTTCATAAGCCTCCTGCAGAAACGAAAACACAAAGGATATTACCTGATGTAACCTAAGTACAGGCAAATTTAAAGAGACATCCGGATGAAATGAGAGGACAAATACCTGCACTGAGGCATTCTAACCGTATAAAAGAACAAACAAGAAGATAAAACGTTCAGTTTGAGTAGAATCATGAAAATGAAAGCACGGTCTGCTACGAAAGCGGACTTTTTTCTGTACATTTACCTTTTAACTTTGACAGCTAGCAATATAATTCTCTCTCCAAGTAATGTATACATCTTCTATGACAATAGAGATTTGATAATATGATTCTTGAGATTTCATTTGTTTTTAGAAGATGATTATTTGGTGATCAATACACACATCGAGTTGTTAAAATAACGGCTTGGCGTTGGGATAAAACTCCAGTAATATTGATTACTACACCAAAGGTTAAAAACAGTGCATCATAAGTAAAAAAATAATCTTCTAATAATAACACGCCACATGCACATATTTTTTATTGGCGATAAAAAACTATCTATATTTGATTATCATTTGTGTAAAATATTTTCTGAATATGACAAATTCACAGTCATAATAAAAACTTGAAAAGAAAAGCCGGCACTTGCAAAAGAACGTGTGTGACGTCACAAGGCTTTAGGTGTCAGTGGCATAACCGTGTTGCCACAAGTGTGAATTTTTGTATGTTTTTTATTACCCATCAGCTTGGCAACACTGTCTCGGATTCCTAATTCATATATGGCGTTCTACTGTTATATTAAATAGTGTTGTTAGAATGCTTATTATCGAGAGTATTGTAGTATTAGAGTTGTACGAGTTTACGGATTCTGTGAAGAGATTGCTGTTGAAAGACAGATTACTTACTGGAAGTTGACCTTGTCAACTTGGAAGAGCGTTTCAAATATTCCGCTGGTAAGGACACGACAACGTAGGATGTCCTGCTCTGTGGGGGTGTAATCTGGCCGTCTGATTATACTAACTTGATCAAGGAAGTATTTTGCACAGTCGATCAACTGATATTCGTTGCTTCTCTCGAAGGTAGACTGAAAAAAGGAAAAGTTTCGTCGTCAATAATTATTCTTAACCATTTAATTTCGCAGTTTTTCATCACCTGTACGCCCCTATCCTTCCAGAGAGCTTCTGTATGGTCATAGAATTCTGGGGGGTAGTCGAAATCTGGACCGGTTGCGCAGTCCTGTATCCAGTCGACTCGTGCTTGATTTTCCGGTTTTTCTAAAGGTACAGGAGGGCTCAGTGTTGACATTGCCCCTGTAATTGTCTGAAAAAAAAAATTCAAAAAGATTTCATTGGAATGTATAGGCAAGAATCGACCCCTTCAAAATCTTTCGAAACATCACTTTCGGATATTGACATTTTATACATTCAATTTTGTGATTGACAGAAAAACCAATAAACGTTTACTTGAAAGTAACATTTATAATCATTTGAAATTTCATTGATTTCATAACTTCAATTAAAGATGAATAATTAAATTGAAAATATAAAAAATGTGATAGAAAAACTTGGATATGCTGTGACAATAGTTGATTTATTATGCAGGATCATTATACAACATAAAAAGGAAGATATACACCTAATGAAAACCTTTTCTTATTAAAAATAAAAATCGAAATTAAAACTCGACTATTAAAAATATTTGTTACAGTTACTAGTTGATTTTTTTTCCTAGTTGGTTAAACTTGCTCAGGTTTTCCATTTTATTTGTTCTATTGAATAAATAATTTCCCGTCTACCGGGTGTCTCGTGAGTTATGATCCAAATTGAAAGAGGCAACAGAGGCCATTTATGAAAAAAAGTTCAGTCTATTTTTATGAAATTAACAAAAAAATAAATCGCAAAAAACACAGAACTAAAAAAAATAGCTTTTGGATTTTTCAGGAAACGCGAAATTCTTTACGAATATACCGAAAATGAATGACCGACCTGCTACTTACTTCTTAAAGAAATCATAAGAAACGACCTTGGTTTTTTTCACAGAAGTAGAAACTTGTTCGAGCTGAGGATTAACGAGGTCTTATTTTTTAACGTACGATTTCTCGCACTAAATCTCATTTTAATTCGCAAAAAATGCTGTGGTTTTTGCCAGAAGGGGTACATTTTTGATTGTGTTGTGTTCNTTGTGTTGTGAGAAGTTTTTAAATTGCTGCATATTTTTGAAGAACAGAATTTAAAAAAATATTTCGAAATATACCGAAAATGAATGACCGACCTGCTACTTACTTCTTGAATAAATCATAAGAAATGACCTTGGTTTTTTTTTACAAGAGGTCGAAACTTATTCGAGCTGCGGATTAACGAGGTCTTATCTTTTAACGCGCGATTCCTCGCACTAAATCTCATTTTAATTCGCAAAAAATGCTGTGGTTTTTACCAGAAGGGGTACATTTTTTATTGTGTTGTATGGAGAGAGTTCTTCAAATTGCTGCTAATTAGAAACAGCGACTTTCTTTACAAATATACCAATAAATGAAAGACCGACCTGCTACTTATAAGGATGTAATAGGGTTGGTTCGAAAATAAGGGTAGAATGAGAGAAAACCAATTCTGCTACAGGAACGACCTTGGGCTTTTTACACATTTTTTTTAAACAAAAACAAAGCCCCATGTTATATGAAATATTTTCAGCAGAAATGTTCTTCCCTGTACCATGAGACGTTCTATATATACTTATAGTATTATTCGAAAAAAAGGTTGTTGCTGCTGTGAGAAATATAACTTTCAAGTAAACAAACCTTGGTCATATTTCTGTCTCTCTTTCACAAACATTGTTTTTCATAGTGGTACTTACTATAATGGCATCTCTAATATTCTTTTTTATATCTTCGATCTTTTGCTTCTTTTCCTTTTCGCTGAATCCGTTTACGTGTAAAATGCGCATCTGTTTCACAATGGTAGACTTGCCAGATTCTCCAGCTCCCAACAGCAGCAGGCGATGTGTTGCACGGTATACCTATTCAACAAACGAAATTATTCTGCAGTTTTGTCAGAGTACAGAGTCACACCAAAAATATATTAAGGCATATGAAATCACTCGTCATTTATTCACGTGCCAAATTCCCTTAAACGGAATTTTGAATAAGTGAAAGAATTTGTGTAACAATTATAATGATAGAAATTGTGAACTATTTCGAGAACAATCTAGACAAGGAAGTTCTATACTAAACCATATGTTTATTCCATCAACAATAAATTGAAACTATTGGTTTATATATTTTTTTTTCAGGTCTCATCAAATCTTGAATAATAGTTATTTCGACAAGATGACTGAAAATAACTGATATTGAAACTACTGGTTTATATCTTTTTTTTTTTAAAGCAGATACACAAGAACACATTTGAAGAACGTCAAAAGTGTTTATAATACAAATGATGAATTTTATTTGATAAACCCAGGTAATACAAAGAAAATGCCGACGTTCGGTAACTATTTAGTTTTAAAGTCATTTGAATTTACTTCGTATATAATATACTTCGGGGACCAACTAGGAAGTTGATTAGATCATTAGCATATATTGAATATAAGAAGAGTCCAAGAATGGAGCCTTGGGGAACCCCTTGTTCAACTGTGAGAGAGTCTCTGAGTGTTGTTGATGATTACCTTCCGTGATCGATAACCCAAGTATGATTCTGAATGTGATAGTGTTAATCATGACCTAGTGTTCCAGTATGTTGTGATCAACACTATCACTACTGAAATTATCGATACAACCTCATGTAAATTTAGTTCCACGTAAACACTGGATAATTCAGAAAAGAAAAAGGGAATAAATATAGTTTAAATAAATATAGTTTAAAAAAACTAAAAAACACGCTTTCAAAGAACATCGAACTGAAAAATTAAAAATGTTTTTTTAAAAAAGCTTAAAACAATAACGAACGAAAGATACTAAAATTATTGTGAAAAAAGCGACGGGCGCCTGATATACAAAAATATTGCACAAAGCGCCCACGCTTTTTTCACAAATATAACGGGTATTTTTCTTTCGTTATTGTTTCAAGCTTATTTTTAAAAAACTTTTTAGTTCGATGTTCTTTAAGAGCGTGTTTTTTAGTTTTTATTACACGTTTTATATTAGCTTCACCTGTATGTATGTTTGTTTGTAACTCTCAAGCTCGGGATCTGTATTGACAGAATTATTGGCATTATTGCTTGATCTATTCGCGAGCAGATGGCGCTGTAGGTAACCTCATTGATATTTCTTGATCTATTCGCGAGCAGATGGCGCTGTAGATAACCTCATTGATATTTCTTGATCTATTCGCAGGCAGATGGCGCTGTACGTAACTATCAATTATTGCTTGAGCTATTCGCGGGCAGATGCCGCTATACATAACATCCTTGATAGATAATTAAGTTTGAGGTCTCAAATTCTATAGTAATACTGAGATGCAGTAAGTCTCCAACAGAAGGCGGACAGTTGTACAGTAATAATATCAAAAACAATTCAGTTTTGATGTTTTGATTTAAAGTTTCATTCAAAATATTAATGGACTAAAAATATTTTTTCAGAGAATAATTTTATTTTTCAAATCAATCTTTTGATTTGATATGTCAAGCACCTTAATTCTAATTTTTCTATTTTGTTTATTATTTGAGTAACTGAATTTTTTAGGTGTACAATTTACGATAAAGTTTTCATTGTTAAACTCCATATTCAGGTTTGCTTTCAAATAACCTTATTAGATTTTATATGATGGAATCGGCCGATACTTGATGAAAATCCATAACTAACGCCAGATGAAGCCATTGTATGGCGAAACACGTATTGCGTTTTTGTAAAACAATTTAGTGAAAATCTCACAATAAAGTGTTTTTGGAATACGTTTATTAGATTTTAAAATGTATCTTCCGTTTCGTTCAAACCTTTTTTCTGTACTGAATCACGGGTAATTGTAAATATTTCATCTGTAGTACAAAATTTTGCTAACACTTATAATTCTTAAAATATGTTTTTTATTTTGATTTTCTTTTGAACAACATATCAAGGAGGTTATGTATAGCGGCATCTGCCCGCGAATAGCTCAAGCAATAATTGATAGTTAAGTACAGCGCTATCTGCCCGCGAATAGATCAAGAAATATCAATGAGGTTACGTACAGCGCCATCTGCTCGCGAATAGATCAAGCAATAATGCCAATAATTCTGTCAATACAGATCCCAAGCTTGAGAGTTACAATCAAACAAATATACATACATACATACGTACATACAGGTGAAGCTAATATAAAGCGTGTAATAAAAACTAAGAACATCGAATTAAAAAGTTTTTTTTTAAGCTTAAAACAATAACGAAAGAAAATTACTAGTATTATTGTGAAAAAAGCGTGGGCGCTTTGTGCCATATTTTTTATATATCAAGCGCCCGTAGCTTTTTTCACAATAATATGAACATTGAATTATACAAAAAACACTTTTTTCTATTCAGTTTGTAAGCCAAACATTCGTAATGGAATTGAATCAGATATCATTCATAGGATACTATACACAATATAGTATGTGAGAAAGGTAAGATTTCCCTTACATGGAACACTGTCATCCTCAATAGCGGACATCGATGTTTCGGAATAAGACACTTGTCTTATTGCCTCTTCAGCACCAATCTAAATAACATTAGAAGATGAGGCACTCAATTCATTCATAAAATTACAACTCTACGTCACGAAAGAGTTAAATTTACTCGTGTTATCGATGACAGTACATATAGATACATTAGTTCGCTGATTACTTTCTTTCCACATTTTTGTGTATAAAGGAGAAGTAGAAAGCCAAAACCTTTGTTTCCCAAAATATCCCTCTTTCAATTCACCTTCACATAACTTTCTATATCTTCTCTCTATTATTTTTTCCTTGCACATTGGTCAGTAATATCGATTGTTAAAAATCGAATTCTAGCAAATCGAACTCTAACTTTTTCCAGAAAATTATTCATGATCATTCCTTGAGATTCCCAAAAAACTGAAGCAAGAGCTTTTCCAGCAGATTTCTGGACACGAAATTTCTAAGGCCTTGGAGAACCAGAGAGTAACAAAATGGCTTGAGAATTCTGCATTTTTTCAAACCAAATGCAGATCGAGCAGGATGCTTTAATTCTTGCGAGCTTCTGCTGTCAATATTCAGACATTAGAGGATCTTCATCTTTTGAAGCTTGCAATTTTAATTTTCCAAGTTGGATTCAGAAGAAATTGATCGCCAAGTACCAAGCATACCTTCATGAATCTGCTTACCTCTAAACCCCTTAAAATACAGATACTGAACGATTGCTCTATAATCCAATTTTTCAATTTTAATAATTTCATTGGTCCTAAGCATAATGATAATGTAAACAAAAATTCAAGAAACTAGAAAGTTATATTTTTAATTATTCAATAATATCCACATTTCTTTGAAATTGGTGGTAGGTATTATGATGATTTTCACATTAAACATCAACCAGGAAGACCACTTCAACGCCAATGGAATTATTATATGAAATCCAATCTAAATAATATAATTCAACAAGAATTCACTCCTTGGTGTTGCAGTCATCACTTATATAAACATACACCCTGTATAATGAGTATACTGTGTTCAAGCAATACATTATTATTTGATATTTCTACTTCTATATGCCATCACTACCACCGAATATGGTAAAATTAACCAAATACTACTATAAGAAAGTTAATCTAGACTATGTGTTAGATGATTATTTTGAACCATTTTTCTACCGATTTTTCTATCAACTTTTAAAAACTACTGCTTTATGTCGGAGACGTTATGCGAAGCAATACATTTTCTAAGTCACAAATACTCATAAGAGTTCAAAAAATTAATTAATAATGAATAAGGAAGTTAAACAAGAATATTTAAGATAACAAATGAACCTAAATGACTTGTCGTTAGAAGAAAATTATTAATTGTTCTGCACTAATATGTTTCTGATGTAATATAACCCTGATTCATTAAAAGGGGATTTTGGAAGAAACCTTTTTTGGCATTCCACTTCTCTATAACATATTACATGGGAAAATAAAGATTTTATTGGACCCTGCGTTTCTAGTTGAGACTTATATTTAATTCCTGATCAGCAGACAGTTGTGTAGCGTCTTGAATGCTTTTCAAAAATTCCAATAGCTGCAATCAACTAGATACAGTTTTGAAGTACAGTAGAACTCCAATTATTCAGATCTTTCTGGACCAATCCTAGTTCGGATAATCTTATATAGGATTTTACAAAAGGCTTATTTCAAAGGAGCAACACCTGAGAAAAAGTTCAAAGCACCAAAGAAAACAAACTCAATACAACACGATATTTGAAACATAATTTCATAACTGAAAATTTAAAAATTAGAAGTTCGGATAGTTGGATTTCAAAAAGCTTGCAAGGTTACATTCATAAAGTTAAATCAGAGTACGATGATCTTGCACTGAGTCTTTCATAAACGTTTTCTAGTATTATAAAGCTCATATTCTAATACGTTCAGAAGCATACTCGAAGTCTACTAGTCTTACTCAGCTTTCATTAAAGTGGAGTTGTACACTGAACACTGATAGTTATATAGCCCCCCATTTTTAATTTTTGAATGATGCAACATACAAGAAGAAACATTTTCAGTACTTTTTCATAAAGAAGTCAATGGGGCAACATCACTCGTCACAAATAGAAAAGGGGGGAATTGTGAGCCTTTGCTAGAAAGGTAGTTCGATTCTCTATACAAGAACTTTCACTGTTTTGTATTTAAATAACTGGTTGTGGAGTTATTGGTGTATGAATTGGAAGCTAGAAAAAAATGATAATTTGTATCATTGCAACCAAAACAGCGCCAAAGTTAGATATCAGAGGTGATACAAAATTTGTAATGCTTTTGAGAAAAAAATTTTCACTGTTTTGTATTTAAATAACTGGTTGTGGAGTTATTGGTGTATGAATTGAAAGCTAGAAAAAAACGATAATTTGTATCATTGCAACCAAAACAGCGCTAAAGTTAGATATCAGAGGTTATACAAAATTTGTAATGCGTTTGAGAAAAAAATGCTCACAAAAATATATCTTATTTAGAATAAAACTGAACCAAAGTATTCACCAAAAAAGATTATGTAGATACAAATCCGCATTGTGTTACCCTAGTAACAAAGAGTATCGTGTTATCCCGACAGCTGTCACAACTGATACTGAGAATTCGTGCCAGATCTTTAGAGGAAAAAACAGAAGCAATCCTCATTTACGTTGAGGCCTGCATAGTCTACTAATTAAACAGGAAACGGTCATATAATTGATTTTTTCCAATAGTCATAAGAAAGATTTCTTCTCCACGATTTTTCACTGTTTGAAAGAGGCATGTCTCATTCACGTTTAAAACTCGAGGTTTTTTGATGTGGTCAAAATTATTATATTTCAAATAGTCTGGACTGAGTTAAATTTTCTGGTAGTTATGAAGTTACATCAAGATGATATTTTCGTTAATTATCAAGTACAGTTTATCTGGCAAATAGAACCTTTTTGAACCCTATCGTAAAATACATTTATTGTTAATGAAAAAATTTGGTTCCTTTAAGGATTTTTACAATATTAGAAGCTGATAGTAGACAATGAAAAAATGAAAACTTCGATATATCCAACAAAACAGGTAAAAAAGTGAGTGGAAAATCACAGCAAAAAAGTGGAAAGGTTTTGCCTCCTCAATAATATTCTCTAGAAATCAAGGAAAACAAACATATTGTAATTCTGAGTGGTTGCTTCAAAATCCGACTTTTTAAAGTATCATAATTGGTGAGCTATGGTCTTTCATCTATGAATGATAGATAACCCGAAGTGTATGGAATGTTATTAGAGTGTTTATCTGAAGACATTTATCAGCAAATTGTTCACTGTCGGGCATTAGTGCTTTCAATTCAACATCAGAAGAGGAAAGCAGTTAATTTAGATAGGCTCTTCCACTTTTTCTCTAGCTGTTTCTTCTGAAAATTTCCCACTTCTTTTTGTATACCAACTGAGAAGTAGAGAGCCAAAAATGTTTTTCCACATAACCTTGACCACTTTCTCTAGAATTTTCAAGTGTTGAAATTGATGATTACAAACAATAATAATAAACGTCATAGCAACAAATTATTTATATGGCTCGTATGAAAGGTACTTCATATTCAGATTCAATGAAGGAAATTACCGAAACACTTAATCCCTTGGTATCCAATCAAATGCTTCCATAACTTTTTCTACAGAACATTACATATTCATGGGCAGTCTCTCATTATCGCCAAGAAAACACAATATCATGCCACCTCGAGATCCTTAATAGTGTCCGAATCACTCTAGAAAAGAAATAGGCGATCCACCAGCACTTCTCTCCCGATGGAAAGCGAAAAAATTGTTTAAATATGTAGACTAAAAAATGGCTCCTTCTGATATCCTATCTTATGGACAGGATAGTTATTTTTACTTGAAGATTATCAAAAATAGCCCACACTGCTGAGACAGACATATATTAGTAGTATACAACACAAATCTACACAAGCATATTTTAAAAATAGAACCTGGCTAATATTTTATGGAGTTTTATCGCGAATCCTCTGTCGGACTTACTAAAAACTACTCGATACACCCTGTCACAAAATCGACTTTTAGTCAAATAGCAACCTATTACACATGTTATTCCCGCGAAACTACCATGCAATGTGCATTAAATGATGAAACAGACCGCACTCTTTGTTTTTTAACACTTTTTTGGCGATTAAACATAGTTCTTTCAATAATGTTTCGCGATAAACTTCCGAAGTACACAATTGACTTTATTCGGCCTTGCCAAACGCGGCGCCACTGGCGCTGTCATTTATGCGCACATCAAACGCTCCTTGAAATGAACAGTAGCGGCGCATCAATTCGTTTTTAGTGGTTAACAAAATTTTCATATCTATCGATATTTTAATAAAGGCATACAAGGGCCACAAATGATTTTGCGAAAATTTAACAGATTTATTATTTTGAAATTTATACTTTGAATTTGTGGCTTTTCACCTTCATGGTTATTCTTTTGTGTTTGAAATGTTAATTAACAGAAATGTCAATTATATGAAAAAAGTCTTGTAAAATAGAATTAAAGTAATTTTTTGTGGAAGATTCGAGGTTTTGAGTGAATTTTTTGTGATCTTCCACCTTCCACACAAGTTTTTGATGAACATTTTCTTCAACAAATAAATAATAAATTAACGCACCCTGGACGTTTGCCACTTTTAAACCGAATAAATTGAAGTAACCACTCGGCTTCATTACAAGGATTCGGGATACCTTCTTCAGAACTACTTAGATCAACATCGAGTATAATTATGTTGTATAAAATTATTATTGCAATAAGTTCTGCATTTTTACTATTGAATCAATGTGATTTCAGTGTACCTTAAGTCACAAATCACTTTTATAATCCGTCATTCAGAAAAAAATACTTGGTAAAAATTGAATTTGGGAAATTTTTTATACACCTGTGTGTGTACATTTTTAGAACAAATTGATTTTTGAAAAATGTGGGAAAATATCAAGAGAAGAAAGAAAGTGATCAACTTCAAAAAGAAATTTTCAAAAAGATGTTTAGATCATGCAAGTACAACTCATTCATTGAAAAGTAAACAGCCAAAAAACTTTTTTCCAAAAACCTCAGTAGTATTTCTTCATCGGTATTGTTATGCTGAGTAAGTATATAGTAAATTGTATTAGCTGTGGTCTGTAGGTTTTTATACCCGACGTTTCGTCTGCTAATGTGGCAGACACTATCAGAGATGATGCGGCAACGATCGAAATGATCTACCTTTCTCGATGCACAAATTGAAAATGGTCCTGGTGCATTTGTACTTATAATGGGACTAGGTATTGAAGGGTCGACTGTTTTTGTACCTGATAGGTCCAACCTTTCTTCAATAAATGGAGAAAGCAGGTGTGATTCACCGAAAAAATACCACTCTAAAAAGGATGAGAATATATACAACCCTTTCACTAAAGAAAATCAGAAGTATTTTTGATGAGTGTGAAAATCTTACCTATATGTATGAAATAGCGTAACAGTGTCACTGTTTTTCCATACCTTTTTTATCCTATAAATAAATTTTCTGTACTCCAATGTATACCAGAATACCCAAATGTTGTCCGCTTTCTTTTCGATACTATTACACAAAACATAACAAACACATATTGTTCACAAATCATGTTCCGTACAATTTACGATTTTATGATCTATCTATCTACAACATATTGATTGGGAATCCCTTAGAAATTCTCTTCGCTCTGAGCAGCGTAATATTTTCATAATTTGGGGATTATTATGATTACTAACTTCAAAATGAAAACTTTCACTTCAAAATGTGTTAACTTTATTTTTTACTTTGAAATCACTGGCAAGTAAAATATTCAGCTCGTCCAAATGTAATGTAATTATTTTTCGACAGAGAAGTGAAAATATCACAAGTTTTTGAATTTTATTTGCTGATTATATGATCATAACACTATTAGAATCCCGAAGCGTTTTTTTGACGATTAAAATGTCAAGTTCGAATTACCGAATTGTGATTTAATCATTACTTTGTGTGCTATGCAAAAGAAAGCAACATGTGTGTTCGTTAACCATTCTCGATTGACATTTAGTGCCATCAGCGGTTGACATTAAACAAACGTTTTTTACAAAGTTTTCTGAAGTGACTGTGAGAATGAACCGGGATATTTTAAAAATTGGTTTGAAGTTGCTACAAAGTTGTGGAAAATGCCTGGAATTACAGATCAAACTTCAGTTTCTCCATTATATAAAATCCAAAATGCCTTATTTATAAACTTTTCGAAAATGTACCTTTAGCAATTTGGTGGTTAAACAGATTTTACTTCCTTCGGTTCCAATTATCGACAAAGAGGGCCAGTCAAAGATTAAAATAGAAGTAGTCGTTGCTTTTCAAGGATTATTTTGATTAGAAAATTGAAGTTATTCATTCATTAATAACCTTCATTGATAATATCAATTATGACTACTTACATTCAGGTTTTTCTGAATGTTCATAACATAACGGGGATAGGTGCTGGCGTTTGAAGAATTTTATGGAAATTCAAAGTCAAATTGTTCATCACTATTTCTGAATTTAAATAATTCAAGAAATTAAAGCGATAGAGATTTTTTTCTCTGTTCTAGGTTCCAAAAGGCTACTCTCACTTGAAAACCCATTGATTATAATAATGGAATAATGAATAACTATTTTCCAAAACGAAGAATGTAGATGTATATTCATAGAAGATGAGGATAAAAGGGTTTATGTTCTTTATTACAGTTTATGTCAATCAATTATCACATATCCATAAACAATTTTTTTGGGAAAATTATTTTTTGTTAGGTTTTATTGCATGGACATTTTTCTGGGGATAATTTACCTTCTTGACGTTTAGTTCAAGTTGGCTTCTGTCAAATTCTGTGGTTTTCATTTCATCACTTTAATACGCCATATTATTTTGTGAAAGGCTGAGAAAAGTGAGTTTATATAATTTTAGTTGTTTTTATTCATAATCGGGTAAATTGAATCTCTTTTTAGATTCAATATTAATTTTGATTGTTCAGTGTATATTCTTAAAGGAAATTAGCATGGTTTAAAATAAATTTCGATTATTTACGTAACAGACATTGAAAAATTCATAGGTTCGTGAACGATCCTCTGCCTAATGATTCAATACATTCGAATTTTGTCATTGTTTCTCAATCGATTTGCTTTCCGCTTCATCTCGTCATTTTTTATCATTAGAAAATTACATAACATCAAATGACATAACCTCAATTGTAGGCTTGCGAGATGGCTGCAAGACTATTTGCCCTTTCTACAAGGGCAATCTTCAATGCCCCCAAAACACCAGTCCAGTCGGCTGCCATGAGTAGCTACGTCCGTAAACTCATTGGCAAAAGGGAGATTGTCGGTTATGGATTCAATGGAGAACCAAGCTACGTTGACCGTACCGATTTCCCTATGCCTGCCATTAGGTGGAAGGAGCCCACAGCTGATATATTGGTGAGTGGAATTGAACTGAAAGTTTCAAATTTTCAATGTGTTGTTTGTGTCTACTAATTTAAGGTAATCAGTATTGTATGGGGTTCCTCAGGGTTCGGAGCTGGGTCCATTACTATTTATGATCTATACACTGAGGTGGTTTCCTTTGCTTTGCAAAACTGATATAAACAATTTCCTACTCTGTTAAATTATAAGAGAAAAGCTGATATAGTTGAATTGGAAACTGAAATATACCTCGTTGTGAAATTTCTTGGGTTAGATTTTGATCCATGTCACCTAAATTATGCATAGAAATGTAAGTATTGAGGTATTACCGAAGTCATTCTTTGCACAGTTTTAGTAATTATTTTTTTTATGAAATTCTTCTCAGGAGTCATTCCAAGCATACCTAAAGCAATTATTAGATTTGATATCTGGAGTGAATGTGAAGTCTCAAAGAGATATTAAGTTGACAATAAACCTCTATCAATAGTTTGAATATAAGGCATTTTATAAAGTGGAGATAGTTGATCTAAATAAAATAGGGTTTACAACAATGTATGGACAAAAATCAATCAGGAGGTATCTTACTTCAGATTCAGAAAAACGCTGAAAACATACTTACTGGATAACTCGTATTATACTATGGACGAGTTCTTATCTTCGTAGTGAACTCTCTTTGCTCCTTATAGCATTTTAAAGTACATGTATTGTTTGCCTAATCTATGTTCAAATTTCTTTTGACTTGTTTTATACCTTTTAGGTCATTGAAACTAATAAAGATTATTATTATTATTATTAAATTGGGTATTGGCTAGTAGTTTGATCTTCGATAACTGAATTAGACCATAGAGGCTTAATTTAACTTTGCTAAAATTAGAAACATTTTTAACTTTTTCAACTTGAACAGTTACATATTTTAAATGTACTCATTGAGATGTGCAAAATTCAAAGGTGATCTCCCAATCTTTAACTGATGTAACAGAAACTCAAGGGTCTCTTCCACCAACCAAAAAGGTTGATGATCACTTTGAGAACTTTAGAAAATTTTATAAAGTATACATTATGATTTGATTTTCACAAACTTCACAAAAAAGTTTGTGAAGATCAAATCGTAAGGTGTAGTTTATGAAATTACTATGGATCTTCATCAAGTAACGACCGAGTCAATCAGAAAAAATAACTCTAGAAAAGTTATGTGGTAAGAAAATAATGTGTGTGTTGATTATAGGCTCTCCGTGAAAAAGAAAAGGGCGATTGGAACAATCTGTCATTGGAAGAGAAGAAAGCACTGTACAGGGCTTCTTTCTGCCAAACTTTTGCTGAATTCAAAGCTCCGAGTGGAGAATGGAAATCTGTTATAGGATTGGGACTGATCTTCATTTCTGGAGCCTTCTGGATCTTCTACTTCATGAAGGCATTTGGTACGTCTAAATAAGTGGGCAAGTAATCAATCACATTTTAACTTTTTTTCTATAGTTTACAGCCCGCTGCCTGTCACGTTCAGTAAGGAATACAGAGAAGCTCAGTTGAGACGTATGATTGATTTGCAAGTCAACCCCATTCAAGGTATCTCATCGAAATGGGATTACGAAAAGGATGACTGGAAGAAGTAATTTTTCGCCTGCAGTTGTGAAAGGAACATTTATGTTTGACAGCCGTGAATGTTCCTTTTCTAATAAAAGATAGTAAAATCTGAACATTAGAAACTTATTTATTCCTTACCATTATGTGGTGAAATACTGTGTGAAAGGACGAATAGTGTTGATGGTTTATGCTGGGACAAGTATTAATAAAGGAATTTGTTATAGTCAGATTTGTTTGAATTACCAATACCTGTTTTAATTTATTTCTACAGTACAAACTTTCTATTGAGATTTTTTCTCAATGTTTTTTTATATTGGTAACTCAGTTGGAATATGTGAAAATCCTTTCTTAGTGTGTATCCAAGACATAAGAAGCACCTCTATAACAAATTTTTGCTTCTTAGGACTTACCAGTAAGGAGAAACGGATAAGAATGAGGAGTGTTGAGTGAGAGGAATCAAAATGTGTACCCCAAAAATAAGAGCTCTGCTTGTGACAACTATAGGGCTATGTGCATACATAGTCGAATCACTAAACTATTCGAAGCATCTTATTGTGAAAGATTGCAACAATGAGATGGTTTCTGTGAGCACAAAACAACCAGCTTGGCAATTTCCCATTGTCTAGAGTTTACAGTGCACTGAATGATAGAAATAATGTTCTATGACTTCAGTCGTGCATCATGAAATTGAAAGGATTTTGTTAATCATGCATTTTCTTAGGGTTATGCTTGAAGACTGGCAGTAAACAAATCTAAAGAAATTAACTTTAAACGTTCAAGCCAGTCTTGAATATACCTACACAGAAGGTCGAATGGACTGACGCCTATCAGAAAACAGTTGTACTGCCAATTGCATATGCAGGAAATTTTCTGTGAAGATAACCTCAAAAAACGGTTCATTTGAACTACTGAATAAATAGTTTTTTATGTGAGTCGTTTTCATCATTACTTTTGAATATCCTTGTATAGGCTGACATTTTAATTCTTCCAGCATAACATACAATTAGGTCTTACACAATTATTATATGGGGAATAAAGTAAAGGCAGCAAGAATGAAGTAGATATTTGGTATAATGTATATTTAAAATATTCACAAGAAAAAGATTTAAAAACATAACAAATTTCAAATAAACATTCAACAAAATCGTTATTGCATAAATTTGTGCTCGTTAATAAGTAGTGTATCGTTTTCAGAGGCACTAAGTACAATTCAAAATGCTAGTAGGAACCGATTTCGACACACTTATTAGCAGAATTACTCAAATTTGTGGTTATGTTTTGCACTTTTCAATTGCGGCTCAATTTCAATGTTCACAACAAATAATTGCTTGATAATTTAATACTTTTTCTGTTGAACTGTCTTTTCACTGAATACCGATGTTTTCTTACAATAACTAACAAAAACAACAATCTACTCTATCTCCTATTATTCCATAACCCAACGTAAACAAATGAGTCTAAAATTGAACTTTTTTTCACAACAAACGATCAAAATGGATGGAAACTTTGGAGATTACAATAAAAATTTGCTGAAACATAACAATAAATTTAACTTCATGAAATATTACATCTTTTGAAAAAATTTATATAAATACATCTTCTGATAGTTCTTTGCCAACATTTCAAACTTTCCCAGTCATCCTCAAGACCATATATTTTTCAACTCATCTCTTAACTGTATCTTTTGAAGCAGTCTTGAATAGGAGTTGATAACGAAAATTCAAGTGGTTTCTATCCAGTTTGACTGAACCATTTCCAAGAAATAATGTTGTTTCCTTCTGACTGCAAGTTGAGTTCAACAGACCCATTTTAAATTAAGTAGCATTCATCACAATTTCATTCAAATTGAATCCTTGAACTAATCAATACTTATCGAGAAATTATAATCTTCAACATGCCGGGGCTCCAAAAAAGTTTGAGACTGCTGAATATTTCCTCTGGTAGTATATTTTTTGAGATAGTCACAATTATTCGTGGAGTAAAGTTCTTTCTTTTGATGACCCTCAATGTTGATTGCAAATTAGCTTCACTTTAAATATAAATCATTTTTTGGCATCGGCAATGAAGAAAGCAGACAAATTCAAGTTTGACAATATACCAATTGCATTCAATTCCAAGTTGATCTCAAAGATCATTCAGAGTGCTTAAAAACACATCTGAGAAGGCACTGTTCAAGTTGCCTCATTTCACTCACATGATTTTTCAAAAACATTTGCGATGTCTTGTTTTGGTCTTTACAAGATTTTTTCAAAGTTTTCATTCCCGATCATTCATTGTTCAAGTTCAAATGATATTGAAATGACTTTTGATGTCTATGACATGAACGTGAAATTTTCTTCTGTTTTGAAGTAGTGGAAAAATGGCTTCCCATGACTTTCAAACATCCACGAAGGTCAAAGTCAAGGTCACCAATAAATTTCTCGTTCATAGACAGATTTTGACCTATCTGGAAAAATTTTAGAAGAAATTATCAGCAGTCCCGAAACATACATACAGTGTGTGGTACTAATACACATCAGGTTTGTCGGGGATATAGGTCAATCAATTTATGCATGTATAAATTTACCATGACAAGTTCCTCATCTTACTTAGCATCATATGTTACTTCATATACCAGTGAGAATATCAGTTTTAATTTTTTTCAATCATTAGTCAACATAAATAATACTGTTTTGAGACTTAAATATATTTTGGGAGACTGATTTGGTACACACTGCTCAACATTTTAATCGTATTTTTTTTATGAAATTGCTGTCAAAGTATGCCTGACATCTTAATTGATGAAAAAAAAAAATGGATACTTTAATAAAGAATCTCAAAATTCTGTCTCACGTTTGCCCTTCAAATTTTTGATGGCATTTTCTAAACTTTTCAGTAAAATAAAATAAATATATACATATCTGTAAAATATAACCTGACACGGCATTCAATGCCCAATAACCGACACAAACCATTATATCGACTGATAATAACTATCGATCCTACAGCTCAATTTACATCATTAAAAATTCCAGAATTCTACTAAGAACTATCATTCGATTTTCATCACTATACATCAATAGTTATAATAGACTCCCTGCCTTTGCCGACACCAATCCACCTCACTGAAAATAAAAATAGGAAAAGAGTTAGCAAAACAACCCTCCGCTTCATACATAAAAAAAAAACATCAAAACAACCAAGTTGAATGGTTCAAATAAATTTAGTTACGAATAAAGTGGGTATCACAAACCTGGCACGTCAAGGAGCTCTCTGATCTTTCTGACGTAGTTCTTCGCATTTTCTGGTAAATCACAGAACTTTCTCACATCCTCAGTACTCGTCTCCCAACCCGGCATCACCAGATACTCGACCTGTCAAAAAAACTTTAATCCCACCAAAAAAAATTAAAATACAACTTTGATTCACCTCAACTTCGGCCAAATCTGAAGCAGTCGAAGGAAAGTATTCGATTTTCTTTCCCCTGAGAACGTATCCAACCGCCAGCTTCAGTTCAGGTAACGTATCCAAAATATCCAGCTTCGTTAGACACAGAGCAGTGTAACCGTTTATCATATTGGTGTATTGGAGCAGGACGATGTCTAACCAACCGCATCGCCGTTTTCTTTTAGTTGTTACACCAATTTCGCCACCACGATTTTGCATCAATTCTCCAATACTCTGTAAGAAACGGAAATTTTTTCTAATTGTTACTGTATAGTGAAAGGAATAGCGAAACATAATATTTTGATTAAAGAACAATCTGGATTTAGGGAATCCCATTCATGTGAAACTGCACTGCAATTTCTAATCTCTTTGTGGAAAGTTGAGCTATCTAAAAAACGTATTATAGGTGTTGTCTTTCTGGATTTCAAAAGGGCATTCGAGATTATAAAGTAATAAAATGGTTCACAAATAACCTCACATATCGGAAGCAGCTAGTTAAATATAATCAAGTGACATCCAGTACTTTAAATGTAATTTCTGGAGTCCCTCAAGGGTCGGTATTGGGTCCACTGCTATTCTTGCTGTACATAAATGATATTGTGATACATGTTGAAAGGTGTTAGATAAAACTGTCTGCCAACGACACTATGTTGTACTGTTCTGGGACAACTAATGAAATCTCAGAATGTTTGAATGAGGAACTATTGAATATAAACGAGTGGTTATGTGACAACGGCCTCAAGTTAAATGTTAATAAAACAAGCAAATATCGTTAAAGACATCTGCAAGAGGAACAGCTGTCATTCAATCTTTATATTGATAATGTCATCATTGAAAGGGTAACAACTTTTGAATATCTGGGAGTGGTATTAGATCAAGAATTGAACCTTAATGCGCACTGTAGTTATATTCAGAAGAAAATAGCCACGAAAATACATCTTTTATATAGATTGAAAAATAAAATAAGTGAATATGCAAAATTAACAATTTATAAATCAATAATAGCACCCCACTTTGATTATTGCAGTACTGATGAACTGTATTTTGTTATATAGCTCCTATCCCCCAAATTTCTTTTTGAGAGAGGGTAATTTATCAGAATGGGCTGGAATCATTGTCAAGTCACATAGTCCTCAAACATCTTGGAAAAAAGGATGCTTAGGTCGAAATTCGACTACTTTATTCGCCCGCCGGGCGATAAAGTAGTCCGCGGGCGCTAAAGTGCTAGTTTACGCTCGGTCGTGCATAGAATAATTTCTTTGTAATTTCTCATTCATCAAAAATCCCCTCCCGGGACGGGACGAAATATCAAAGTCAGACAAAATGTAAGTAAAAAGGAATCATGTTTAGTACCTTTTGATAATACAGATAATATTGTTGCATTATTTATCGTTGAGACGGTGCTGAAACTTTTTTCAAATTCAAAGGAGGGTCTTGTGATATCTCATTCTAATTCTCTATCCAACACTGTTTTACTTTAATGAATCGGATCGGCCTTTCCAGAGTAATTAGTAGTTTTATATTCGTTTTAAGAATATGCAAAACAAATAATAAATAAAACCAGTCTGTCATAATGAGAAGAATCTCATCTTGCTTAAATTTACCATCGATTGAAAACTCACATGAGTTTTGTCAATTATACAAACCCCTAGATGAGGAGACATGGTTCCACTAGATCACTAGATGTGATATCTGAGGTGCAGGATACTCAACCGTTTGCAACAAAATTACCCCAGAAACATTTCATAATGTTTCACAGCATAATCATGAATCATCAAATGGCAATATTTATTCAAGATAACTTTAAACGATTAGGAAATATACTATTTGATGTTGTATTAAATCATATTTTTTTCTGTTCATGTGGAAATTACTGAAGAAATTGTATTATATGTTATAAACATTTTTAAAATTCGTGACTTTGGTCCATTTACAGTTGAACAAAAAGTAATTTTCAATTGTTTGCCATTATGAAAGGAAATGGTCGCTGAGGAGAGCATGTTATGATTTATTGATTGGTCTTAAAAATATACAGAGTTCTATTTGAAATTTTTACTTGAGGTCACTACTGAAACAGGTTTTGACTGCTTTTTTTATTAGAAATATTGGCTCCAATATAAAAAAACAAACCTACTCACCTGCAGCTGTAATATTAACAATTTATACTTGAATGGACAAATTCTCGAGAATAAAAACCAATCCAAATTCCTGGGAATCTTTATGGATAACAAATTAAAATTTGATCAACATATTTCAGCGTTGAATAAAAAATTGGCATCAGGATGTTAAGCACTTAGAATAGTTTCAAATGAACTGAGTTCATCCACAACAAAAATGATATAACATTCCCTGACTGAGTCCCACCTGAGATATGGTGTTGCCTTCTGGGGATTTTGCAATCAACAACTTTGTCATTCAGTGTTTGTTTTGCAAAAGCGAGCGGTTAGATACTTACGCAAGGTGGGAGTGCGTGAGTCATGCAGACCATTATTTTTGAGAGAAAAAATTCTCACTATTACTTGTATTTTCATACTTGAAACTGTTTGCAACACCAACAACATCGCCAATTCTATGAGGAGAAATGCCCAATCCAGTGCAAACCCCTCCCACACTGCAATTCGAAGACGTCACATAGGGATAGGTTCCTAGAAGAAAACAAATGATGAAAAGCTGAATTTCTCCAACTCGAACCAGTTGAAATATGGTCCAGCTAACTGGCAATCACGCATTGAAATAATGGACGGTTTTATACCACTTGTAACTGGTTCTGATAAATTCGTCTAATGCATTTCTTTTTCATTCATCGTTAAGGCAATCTACAGTTCCTTACAGGTGAACAAATAAGTGCTTGCCAGACAAATCGATTATGAATTCACATAGCTACCTAGACCATG